TACTACTCGGTACATAGCAGTATAAATACATACTATATGTACGTACATAGTATTATTAACGTTGTGGTTCTGACTCGGTCTAACTTCGGCTGGAATCGTGTTGGAATCGAGCTGGAATCGAGTTGGAATCGAGTTGGAATCGAGCTGGAATCGAGCTGGAATCGAGCTGGAATCGAGCTGGACTGGAATCGAGCTGGAATACTACATATATAATAGTGTACTGATTTATCGAATAACTCGAGAAGGACCCGAACGATTGAACCGATCTATATCACAAGTGCTAGTACTTAGTACATACATAGTATGGGTTTGAACCGATTTCGAAGGTTCAAGTTTGTATCGATTTGGATTTGAAAGATGAAATCGATTTGACAGCTTCATTTTAGACTCGATGTGAGAGGTTGGACTCGATTTGGTAGGTTAAAAGCGATTTGGCAGCTTCAGGCTAGGATCGATGTGAGAGGTTGGGATCGATTTGGTGGGTTAGAAGCGATTTGGCAGCTTCAGGCTACTAAGTACATCATGATAGGATCGATGTGAAGGTTTGGGAGTCGTTGTGAAAGCTTGGAAGCAATTTGGCAGACTGGAAGCGATTTGACAGCTTGGAAGCGATTTGACAGCTTGGAAGCGATTTGACAACTTGGAAGCGATTTGACAGCTTGGAAGCGATTTGACAGCCTGAGGTTGGAATACGTCTCTGACAGATGGAAACATTGAATCGATACATAGTATGACAGGCTGGTAGCGATTTGACAGGTTGGAGTGGTGTGAATCGGATTGGAAACTTAGAATTTGCTCCCACATACTTGCTTAGTATAGTACTTAGTACATAGTACCTCGTACTTACCTAGGCAGTTGTATCACCAGGCGAGATGGAAAATGACCTCATCTAGACAGGAGATCTCTGTGGCAGGCAGACTGTTGTTTGAGAGAGTACTTAGTACCTGAGTTGCTGTCGAGCTCAAGCCCAAAAGCTCTGATCGATCTGGAAATCCCAAATCAGGCAAAGACGAACGAGTAAGTCCCCACCAGGTTTTGCACCAACCTAGTTTTGCACCACGCGTTCTACAACCCCACCACCTCGATACCACCAACTTATACCAACCACCACGCAACTAATTAGCCATTAATCACGCGTCAATAGCATCGAATCGAGAGGCTAGGATCCAATAGGCTATTATAGACTATTAATAACGTAGATATCCCTCTATTCGCGCGGCCGCGGCCGTAAACGACGTCTATCATTCTACACTAGTTCGCCGTCTATAGGGCCATTAATCGCCCTTATTATTCCACGAATCGTAGTAGCTATTGTTAAACTAATAGAAGGTCCTATTAAAGAGATAGATACTTAATCTAGAGGTATAAGAATACGCGCCTAGCTATCGGGCTATTCGAGATCTTATAGGGATAATTAGCGAGTTAAACGGCGGCCCTCGACGCGTTAGAATTAACTAGCTACTACGGTATCTAGAACGGAACCCTAACGTTAGAACTAAGGTAGGCTAAAAGATCTATACTAAACGCGTCGATTATACCCTTTCTAAGTTATTAGTAGACTAGTTTAGCGACCTAGTAGGCGTTAAAGAGCGATATAATATATAGCTTAAGAATAGCTAGAATATAGACGAATCTAGTACGGCCCTAGACGTCTATAGTAACTAATTAGTTATTAGTATATCGACTACCACTAGATCACTTAAAAAAACGCCTAAGACGCGCGAATAGATAACGATTATTAAGATAGTATCGGCTCTAGACTTACGTCTATAATCGCTAGTTATCTTTAAAGGCTAATCGCTCTAGACTACTTAGTTTAACGAGGATAGTCCTATCTATCGATATATAGTGTCTAATAATAGCTAGATATTAAACGAGATAAGTCTAGCCTAGCTAGACTAGATATTTATACCTTAAACGGCTAACGAAGACACTACTCGCGGCGCCTATCGAATACTACTAATAGATAGTTATAAGAGTTATATTACGTACGAATTTATATAGAAATATTACTAGAATAATATTATAGTATATTATCTTATACTCTATTTAAGCTATATTTTATAGTCTCTCGATCTTACCTATTTTTCGCCTATTAAGTCGCGCTATCGGGAGGCCATTACTAATCTATCTAGGTTCGACTATACTAGTCTAGTAAAGAAGGCTAGGTTCCTAAAGATCTATTAAATGGCTAGCTAGGAAGGCCTAACTATCGCTAATATTAAGGTAGACTAGAAAGCTAGTGGTATCTATCCATAGAATCCGCGGTAGGCCATTAAGTCTAGCCTAGTCCTAGCTAACGTAGAAAAGGCCTAGTTTACACTATAAACGCCGCCTTTACGTAAGCGAAAAGCGCTCGACAGCGATGTCTATAATACGCTAATTAATCGGAAGATATATAGCGATTTAATAGCTAAGGTAACCTAGCGCGAATCGCTATCTCGTCCTATACGTAATTAGCTTAAAAAGATAGGCTAGATTCTTGAGCGTTTACAGTGGGATACTAGGTAGAAGGATAAACAAATTGCTAGGCTATAGACGCGCCTAGACTAGGCAAAGGCCAAGAAGTAAAAGAGCAAGGCTATTAACGTGAACGAGACCTTTACTAGTATCGAGAGTATATAACTAGCTAAAGAGGCATTGGAATAAACGGCGGCGGCGACGATAACCACGCGTAGGCCTAGGTAGGCTGCAAACGCTAGGAATGACACTAGTAGTAACCCATAGGCGGTATTTATGTTACAGTTTTATATAAACGATCTAGTTGGTTAATTAATTGAGACTTATTCTGTGGCGATCGCGATCAATTAAGTGGTGCAAAACTAGGTTGGTGCAAAACCTGGTGGGGGGACTTAACAATTTCCGTTTGAGTCGATTGAACCCGAAAATGCTGCCCTGCGAGGCGAAAACCCTGTCCAACCAGAATAAGTCAGAAAAGGATTAGAGTAGTTCTGGGGGAGGAGAGGGCAGAAAGTTTCAATGCCAGATCACAGAGTCCAACTCGCAAGAAGGGACCCGGTCATCATGGCATCGTCCAGTCGCCAGTCTTTGCTCGTGGGGTTGGGGCTCTTCAAGCGTGTGGTCCTTGTAGTTGACGTTGACGTATCGGCTCAACGCCCAGAATGTGTGTTCTTGGCAGATCCCACGTCGCAATCGGCTCTGATTGGTGATTACGTAAATCTTTTCCCGATCCGACTCCACGGCAACATTGCCAAGACCTCCGAAGAGAACTGACTTTCTCCGCTCGCCATCATTTTTGTGGGATACTCGACCTTGCCAACGGCAATAACTAGGTACCTAGCTCGCTAGGTACTAAGTAATTCGTCAATCCTCAAGTTCCTGGAACCCCAGCCCCGGATCGATGGACCCTCAGAACATGGCCTCGCCGAATCATCTACCGCTCGCAATCTCTAGCCAACGGCAGCCGCCTCTCATTTTGCAGGAAAAGCTTTCAGGACCACCTGTTATTGCTCTTTGCTGCGACGGCGGAGGCCGATCCGACTCCCGTAGTCAACCCCATGTTGAGATCTGCACGAGGCGCGATCGAAGTTAGGGTTGGCTCCAGGGCTCCGTTCCTGTAAGGATGATGCTGGCCAGCCCTACTCCTCTTTGACATTTTCTAGGCGCATACTGAAGCTTGCCACCCCGGCTCGTCACATCTGTGAGGTTCGCCGTTGTACCCGGAAAGCTCCACCAGAGATGGCAGATTTTTGCGACGCAAAGTCCATTCATCCTTTGGTTACGCTGGCCCATTATCGGCAAAATTCTTGTGAAAATGGTCGCGTGAGGTGCGGGGGCTCGTTATCCTGTGACAAAATCCCTTCGAGGTTTTAGATTTGCCTCCATATAATACAGGACCGGGTTGTCCTCTGTCGTTGCGGACCCTTCTTCTCCTGCCACTGCTGGTCCAGCTCCCTCGTCTTGCCTAAACCCCCAGCACACTCCGAATTTTTCCACAAACATGGAGGACAAGGAGATCAAGTATGTCGACGCCGATGCCGCTCCTGGACAGAAACAGGCATATGTCGACGTTCTCCCGGGCGAAGTGTCAGACAATGCCGACAAGCTACAACGTCGCCTGAATAACCGGCAGATCCAGTTGATCGCTATCGGAGGTTCGATTGGTACAGCGCTCTTCGTCAGTATTGGCGGCGGGCTCGCAAAAGGCGGACCTCTCAGCTTATTTCTTGCGTACACGATATACTCCGTCATGCTCGGCCTCGTCAACAATTGCATGGCCGAGATGACTTGCTTACAACCCGTCTCCGGGGGTTTTATTCGTATGGCTGGAAAGTGGGTTGATGACGCTTTCGGATTCATGGCAGGCTGGAATTTCTTTCTCTATGAGGCCCTCCTGATTCCTTTCGAAATCACCGCTCTCAACCTCGTCTTGTCCTTCTGGAGAGACGATATCCCCACCGCTGCCGTCTGCGCGGCCTGCATTGTGCTTTATGCGTAAGGATTGCACCTTCCTTTGGGGGCCCTATTCTCTGCGGCAAGGTACTAATCTATGATTTCAGTCTCATCAACGTCCTCGCTGTCAGGGCCTACGGAGAGGCAGAATTTTGGCTCTCGGGAGGCAAAGTAATCCTGATCTTCATGTTGTTCATGTTCACTTTTATCACAATGGTGGGGGGAAACCCTCGACACGATGCCTACGGCTTCCGCTACTGGGATAACCCTGGGCCGATGGCAGAGTACCACTCTACCGGCGCGTTGGGAAGGTTTGAGGGCTTCCTGGCCTGCCTCTGGAGCGCTTCTTTCTGCGTTGTGGTAAGTTCCTCGATGTTCTGCTACTGTGGAGCCACATCCGCACGGCAGAACCCATGTCCCTACTGTGTAGCAAGGTCACTAACATGGGATCTTGTCCTATAGGGACCGGAGTACTTGGCTATGGTGGCCGCTGAAGCCAAGCGACCTCGAATTTACATCAAGAAGGCCTTCAAGACCATCTATTGGCGATTCGGCATATTCTTCATCCTTGGGTCTCTCTGCGTTGGTGTGGTGATCCCCTACAACGACCCAACCCTCGTCGCCATCGTTGGTGGCACTCGATCTGGCGGTGGTACCGCTGCTGCGTCGCCATATGTGATTGCGATGAAGAATTTGAAGGTCGAAGTTTTGCCTCACATCACCAACGCCTTGCTCGTCACCAGTATTTTCTCGGCCGGAAACACCTACACCTACTGTGCAACTCGCAGTCTCTACGGCCTTGCTCTTGAGGGTCGGGCTCCGAAGGTTCTCACCAAGTGCACCCGAAACGGGGTGCCTATCTGGTCCTTCTGTGTGGTCATGCTGTTCCCCCTCCTGTCCTTTTTACAGGTGTCCAGTGGCTCGTCGCAGGTCTTGACATGGCTGATCAACTTGATCACGGCCGGCGGCATTATCGATTATATCGTCATGTGCGTGACATACCTGTGCTTCTACCGCGCCTGCCAGGTTCAAGGCGTCGACCGCAACACCTTTCCTTATACTGGTTGGTTCCAACCGTACTGCGGGTGGATTGGTCTGGTTTGGATGACCGTTATTGTTATCTTTTACGGATACTCCAGTTTCACCCCTTGGGATGTCGGCACTTTCTTCTCCTACTATACAATGGTCATTGTGGCCCCTGTACTTTACGTGGGATGGAAACTCCTCAAGCGCACAAAGATCGTGTCCGCAGCAGGCGCCGACCTTGTCTGGGAACGACCAATTGTCGATGCATATGAAGCCACTTTCATCGCGCCTCCCATTGGATTTTGGACTGAAATGTTGCAGATGATTGGGCTGAAGCGAGCGAAGAAAGATGACAGGCGAGGGTCCATTTTATCCACGGCGAGTGGCTGAGAGATTTGTACGAACAAAAGTTTATGATCTGATCACGGTTCGGTCTGTGCATCAGGCCGCCATTGTAACGCGAGAAATCCTACCGCGACGGATGAACACTACTTCCAATGAGAAGACACGAGCAAGAAGACACGCGCAGTTGTGTGCTCTCGTGATGAATAGACAAAAATTTTGACCAACTTCTATTGGAATAACGGCAGAACTGCGTTACCTGGGGCAATGAAGACTAATGATAGTCCCCGTAACCTAGCAGATGTAGTGCTGTATCGAAGGGCCTGGTGCGAAAACCACGAGCCCTTCCGCACCTGTCTCCAGCACTCATTCTTCGAATTCGAGGTCATACGCCAATGTATCATCACAAAGCTCCTCCCTCAGCTTGTGCACCCTATATTCGCGAGTCAGTATGAGCGCAACCGTGGTAATGGGTCAAATTGAAAAGGTTCCTAAAGAGGTTCTCAAAGCTCGGTGGAAAGGATGCGCGATGCCAACCTACCCCAAGTGAGCAGGGTGCTCGGCGTAGACCTTCACATCTTCTGCCTTGTCCAGTATGGCGACAAGACCACAGTTGAACCCTTGGCTCCTGTGCGCTGTGATAGGCAAAGGCGTGTTCACTTCGAGCTTTCTCAGGCCTGGGATTTGGCCAACCATCGCTTTTGCCTGGGCGCCCCAGCTTGAAATCTGAGCGGGCGTTACCCCGGGCTTGAGTTTGAACAGGACTGCGCTCGGTCAGCCCGCATGTTGTCCAGGGGAAGGTGTAAGTAGTGACGAGAGGGTCTTACCGACGTGGTAGACAGGCATAGTTCCAACGGGTCTTGGGTCGTAGTGGTTTCCTGGGCTGTAGTGGTGCTCCGCGTAGGGGTCGTTCTACTCAAGATTCATATATGTACTCTGCAGATGGGTTCGAAAATCGCAGGTGCTCGGTATCATGCCCGGGCCTCGATCGGCTGTATCCCACGGGTCGTCGATTCCCCCGAAACCGAAGCCTGTAGCCCGTGCAAGCCCGTGGCCCCGCACTTTCCCCTCACCTCGTCCCGCCCGGGCCTCACTAACTCATTTGGTTACCTAGGTACCTAGGCAGGTAAGAACAGCTTGCTCGAGCTCACCGGCACCGAAGACTCACCGGAGGCTGAACTTCATCTGACCACACTGCGGGTTGTTGGTCTAGACGGCGCGCGATTACCCTCACCATGGAGTCGGAGTTAATATGATGCGCCATTTGTCGGCCTTTGGTTGCGGCCGCGGTGTGAAACAATGCAAGAACTCGCTTCCAACCTCGAAAATGCATCCAAGGTTCTCATTTCAACTCGGTCATATGCGATCGTACTCGCTCGAGACATGCTCGCCCGAAAATATTCTCGCTTGAGCCGTCGACCGCGCTGACATAGCTCTGGAATCATCCATGAGTCCCGCTTCAACCCTCCAGCTCCAAGCTCTCAAGATGTGATCTCGTCGCCCTGCAGTGTTCTAGGTACTCGTCAAAGAGCGGCAGTCAACCTTACAACGGCAGTACGATGGCGAGAATATCTCGCTTCTGAGTACTGCTCCGCGAAGGATAAGGCCTCGAAGCTCGGCGGACGTCGAACTTTGGACGTTGTTAGAGGGGCCAACGCGAATCTGACCGGCCAGATCAAAAGTCCACGATGACACGGGTCCTGAGACGGCCCTTGTTGTTTTCGACGAGAGTCTCACTGGACGGATTTTGAGAATGTCGGAAGTCTGCAAGCCATGGATCTCTCCTTCGTCGAGCCCATATACCTCGAATTGGTAAGAGCGAATGAAGAAAATAGACACAAAGCATGGAAGAGAAAGGCGAAGGAAGGCAGGTCTGAGAACGTGCAGTCTCCCAATGCAGTCCAGGTGCAATGTGGTTCGGTTTGAAATTCATTGAGAGGCCGTCATCGCCGCTGCCTGTGCGGCTACTTACATTTAGGTATCCAGATGATGCGCCTTGGCTGTGATGCCGCTACAGAGCGTATCAATGTTTGTGGTGATGGTGACTCCCACTACCAGAGTAAGAACACTCCTCTCGCATGGAAGTTATAGCGATGTCTTGACTTCACAGAAATTTACTTCGTCGCGAAGCTCAGGGTTCGGATGTGAACTGGAGAGGCGGTTTCCTTGTCGCGTGTGGTTTCTGCCTCACCCACCCTCATGCTCTCCCTTCAACTTTCAAAACTGAGAGACAGCCTCTCTACCCAGATTTCAATCTTCCACCATCGAAAACCACTCTACTGGTAGACAACAACGTCAAAGACCAGCCTCAATGAGCCTCTTGAGGCTGGTTGAACTTGCCCAATATCGATCAACCACATGCGGTTCATCTACTTGATATCGCCCTCGACTCTCCCTCCCCAAGCCATCCCGCTCATATCTACCTGAGCTCATCGACCATGGCGAACCCTAATGCCAAATTGCTCCGCGCAGTCCTCAACCACGTAATCCTTCCACCTGATCTACCTGACAAAATCGACAACAATCTTGATGAGATCAATCGGGATCTCTTGCTGCGCATCCAGGATGCCTGCACAGAACTGGAAGCAGCCACCAAAGGCAAATACGGACAAGAGCTGGGCCTCCTCCAGAGTTCCCTGGATCACTGTCTCAGCATCCACGCCTCCGTATACCTTGACACCCTGCAACTCCAACGAGCATTCCGCAGACTGAAGGCCGGAGAAATTCTTATCATCCATGTTAGCGAGCAGAACGCAGGATTGTTGATAAGACATGGTACCAGGTAAGCTCAACCTCATCAATGCAACTTCAATTATAATTCTAATCAGATCTCCAGTGTCTTGAAAGGCCATGTCGTCTTTGAAGCCTTCGAGGTCTCTGCAAAGTCGGAAAAGGTCCTCCAATCCCTAAGCGCCTTGCAATGGGACTTTCCCACCTCCGCGGCAGCTATTCCAGACAATGTCTTTGGCGACGAAAGCTTCCAGCAAAACCTTGCCGAATTCCTGCAGAAAGCGAGCTTGGAAAGAGTTCATAAGTTTGGGGCGATCATTTACAAAGCTAACTCTCCAGCCCTCGAGACACGGGATACAAACGATCCTGCTTTGGTTACGGGGATGTTGACCACGTTACTGGAGGGAATCGGCAAGCTGGCTCATACCTCTCCCATTCGAAAACGCGTCCGAGACGAAGTTCGTCGGAAAGAGTCGGGCATGCCCTGGAGAAGATCGCCCTTCTGGCTGCTCCTGCGCGTTGGCATCTTGCGTCTTCTGGAGCAAGTGACATGCCAGCCTGTGTCAAACGCCCTATACAAAGCCCTGATGTGTGTACTCCATGCCCAACTGCTGAATCAGGCGGTTGGCTCTCAAACTCCGGAAGTCAGCCATCTCCTGCTCAGAAAGCTTGGTCGAAGGATCGCAAAATTGGAAAAAGATGGGGTTCTTGCGCCAACTTCAGACACCAGAATCTCAGAAGCATACAACACCCTTTTGGATAATCTTCGTCCTTTCTTTATCAAGGTGACAACCCTTGCAAAGAACCAACTCCAAATTGTCTGGGACGATCACAAGACCAAGATTAAGCGTTGGGTCACCCAACTTAAGACGAGGCAGGCCAGACCGGAGCACATGAAGCTCAGTTTGACAAATAGCGCTCCTTATCTTGAGCAACTACGTCAGCTCCCACCACTCCGGTCCTCAGCTGGAGGTGCCTATACTATGCCGCCCACCTTGCTGCATTTCCTCAGAAAGTACTCGGATCTCGCAGAGATAGAAGCACAGATTTTGACGCAAAATGGGCCAATCATCCAGGCCAGTCATAAGACGTGGGCAGACATAAGCATACAGCTTGCAAAACAGGTCGAAAGTTATCTCGGCAAATCGATCGATTCATTTGAAGTCGGCACGGAAGATCGAAGCCGTATGATCCTGACGACAATGTGGTTATGGGTTCTGATGGACAACTTGTTATGTCGCTTCATGCCCGAGTTCTCAAAGTCCAACCCAGTCTTCACCCCACAAATTCTTGACTGTTTGCGGCTTTCCTCGTACTCCGATCTGTGTCGGCTCCAGCAAATTCAGACCTACCTTGCTCAGCGTCATTCGAGCGACTCAGATACCGTCTCCTCCCGGACCATATTAGACCCCCCTGTCTCGGGCTGTTTTGCTGATCGCTTCTACGACAATCTGCCACCAGATTCTGAAATGCACCGACTGAATCGAAGCATAGAGCGGACAGAGGAAACGCGAAAGCAGAACAAGGAAACAGAATGGGCAGAGAAAGACGCAAGACATCAGCAACTGCTAAGAGAGATTTCTACCGCGGTTTGCCAATTTACATTTGTTGGCGACCTCCTGATCCCAGAGCATGATGAGAACAAGTGTAAGAAATGCATTTTGACGAGGACTGCCGAAAAGATTCGCATCGAGAGGATCGAAAAGGCAATGCCTCCAAACCGCGGCGAGGGAAGAGCTGTACTTTTCGAACTGCTATGCCCAACTGCCTTCGCTGCTTACCGCGAGGCCACATGGTCTATTGTTGCCAGACTGGCTTTGACAAATGTGGAAGAAACAAAGAGCGAACCACTCACGATGGTGGAAGGTTATTACTCAGAGTTTTACAAGGGACGGCGGTCACACCCTAGCAAGCAAGGACTTACTCTGGCCTCCCGAACCAAATCGTTCTTGCAAACCCACTATCGATTCGCTCACTTCCCTATTCCATGTGCAAGAGTTGCCGTCAACAATGGTCTGAGCTTTGAATATTACGACCGCACACGCAAAGTGTGGCTTTCCGAACATTTACCTCGAGTGACGTTCAGCCATCACTGCATGATTGCTCTCCCTCGGCAAAGTCCGTTTGCCAGAATCGCGTTTCCTGACACGATCTTACCTGACACTCGAGGCAACGGGTCTGCCAGAGGTGCAAGCATTCCACAGCCCGGAGCTATTGCAAAATACCTGAATGCTGATGCCAATATCACATCTAATGAAATTCTCGCTGCCCTCCCTCGGTGCCCGCAGACTCTTGGAGTTCCAGAATTTCTGGCTTTCCAAGGACTGATATGTGGTAGTCGCCGTTTATGGCAGGCGATCCTCGTTGAGCTAGGCTCGTCGAATCTCAACTTCAGCTCTGAGCCAGTTATGATGTTGGCTCAGGCGCTGATATGCCGAACCGGTTCTTCGCAAGGAGACACGTTCCATGTTGCAAACGTTGTCTTCCGCGATGCCAGCTTTTGCAGAGCTCTCTTAAGCCAGATCGAACGGCGCTTGCTGAGCATCAGTTCAAATCCGAGAGAAAATTTCTGCATGGAAACCTTGATCAGCTTGATCCTCAAACTCCTTTCTCTTGGAGACAAACATATCTGCGAAAAGGCTTCAGAACTGCTCGAAGCAGGCAGGAACATCACTATCCAGTGGATCAGAATGCTCCGCCAGGAGTTCAAAGACAACACCAACGACATCGCTTCCAGTCGAATTCCTGTCTTCATTCTTTGGGCTGCTTTGTTATGCAGAAGGACCTTCACCATGTTCTCTCGAGGGCCGCAGGGTAGCCAGACAAGCTTTCCAACATCCCGCATGATAGATGTGGAATGCATGCAAAACACTGACACGCCACCTATTTCTTCATCAGCACTGACCGCCTTCCTGGAAGCCTCCATTGCGTTGCACGAGAATCAACCCGTGGAGCCAGAGAAACTTCGACCAGTACTTCGCAGCATATTGATTCGCGACATCAAAATGGTTTTTCGCCTTCAGAGCTGTCTGGAACAGTCGCTCGAGAAGTTTCCCCACTCATTGGTCATCGCCGGAGTGCAAGCATCTGTGATGAGCGGTGAAGCTGTGTCCAGCCGATTGACATCGTTCAGTTTTGTAGAGGATTCTGACGGGAAGTGGGCATGCTTGAAGCTGTCAGGCAATCGACACTTGGAACCCCAAGTCGTTCAGTTCCACCTTGTGGCGGGAACGATACTGCTGAATGGCAGGGCCATCGAAAAGGAGCTTCCGCACGAGATTCGCCATTCCGCGGGAATGGCTCGACTATTCCAGCATCAGAAACTGGTTGTCTCGCCGTCTGCTTTCCCTGGGATGACTTACAAAGTCGCTTATGATGTTGACGGCCACGAGGTTCACCTTGGATTCCGGCGGGGTGTCCTCGTTGTCCGTGCATGGACAAAAGGTACACTACTAGAATACATACCCGACTCCATCTTCACGACGGACGCTTTCTCTGATATCCCCGCATCACTGATTGAGAATTGTGTCCATTGGCTTAACTTGGAAGAAAATGTGATCGAGGTCAGAAAGGAGCCACGGATATGGAGATGCATGCCCTCAAACTGGATTATCGATCTCCGTACCTTGATGGCCAAGCGCAGAGGCTCTATATTGCTTGACCCAGGCAGTAATCTTGTTAATCACTTTGCGAACATGTTCAAGGGATTCGAGGACCCGCGACATATCACAGTGTTCCAGCCATTGCGGGGTGCCATCACGGTCGAACTTCGCCGCTTCGAGCTCAGTTTCTTTGTGAATCCCAACGGTTTCCTAGAATGTCAGCAATTCCGGGCAGAGATCGACCCGAATCAGGACGCAGGAACGTGGTATGGACTTACATCGAAAATCGTCCTCCGCGATGTGGAAAACCCAAGGCGCAGAAGTGTCATCGTGCCGCTGGGGCCTCTCACAGCGCAGCGGAGGGGGATCCATGTCAATGTTGAGATCCGAAGCAGTGATCGTGTATATGCCCGTTACTTCTTGGATGAGGTACTGGGAAGGGTGACCTGTGCGTCGGAACCTCGACTGTTTTACACAAAAGCACTTTTGCACGCGTACACCTCCTTCTGTCTACCAGACCCATTGACAGGAAAGACGGGAACCGAGGAGGCGTGCCATGTTCTGCAATCTGGCAGTTCTCAACCGTATGGAGTACTCAGTAGTGCCAATAGAATGATCCTTGATGCCATTGCGGGGTTGGCCCCTGTGCGCCAATTCTACCCTCCAGACCTCCGGGTTTTGGAACAGGTGTTGTGGAATGAAAATCTCACCTATGGGATACAGCATGATCAATATCTTCTACTTGTCGCCGAGATCAACAAGAAATCCGCACTGCTTTCTAAATTTGACCTGGATATCGATGTTACCCCTGATAGCCAGGACTTGTCAAGAGCAATGGATAACCTGAGCACAGAAGAATCCAATTCTCATCTTTTCCAAAGAAGTCAAGCTCGTCAAGGTCTCTATCAACCATCTCATACAGCGGCGGCCAGTTCTGAACGTGCGTCAGACCTGTCCTACGATCCGCGTGGGTATCACAACTACCGACAAAGCCAAGAGCATGTTTTCCAGGCTGCTCGCTTGATTTATACATGGCCCGCAAAGATACCCTCTCCAACACTTTTGTCGTTGATGTTTCAGAACTGGCCGTCTATCGGTGGTTACGGCGACGATTCTGTTAAATTTGAACCGGTGCGGTTGACGGACTGGCTTGATGTTGATCTGGCCTCCTCATGGGGCCAGCTGGTCAACTTTTACCGTATGGAAGGCCGCCCTGAAACGAAGTACAAACTCATGTTCCAGACGGCATTGGTGTCTTTCAGAGAAGAAATCAACATGAGGGCTGTTCAGACCCTCATGGCCTTCGCAATCCTTGGTGATCTCAAGAGTGTTGATCTGCCGTCATGGCCTTTGTACACACAATTCCGTCCAGGATTCCGTCCAAAAATTGACTATTTGAGACAATTGCTTGGCCCCTGCTCCCGACCGTTCTCAGCGGCACAGGAGCGATCTCACACTCAGAAAGAGAGGAAAGCCGTGGACGCTACACGCAGACAACACGAAGCTAGAGTAGTGAAACAGCTGGATGCTCTCGCAGAATTCATATGCGACCAGTGGCCATGTCCTCAGCCAACCTTTGCGGGATTCAGTACCGATACATTGGACTTGACCACGGCTTCGGCATTAATTACGGTGGAATGGAACGCTATGTTTCGGAACCATGAATTTGAAGAGCATATACAGCAAGTTCAGGATATCTTGGATAAACATCGCTCGCCCCTTCTCGCAAGAGGAGAGAGCCTGTTCAAGAACTGCCCATCACCATCTTTACCGCGTGAATTCCCCCTGATATGCTCGCATTTGTTGAAAAAGCAGGGGCCGAGGATGCCCTTTCAGCAAGTACTAGCACAGAATCCAGCCTCTTATGGCGCGAGATCAGCCGTCAGTCATACCGATCCGGACATCCATCAATTGAGGCAGATCGTTCATCAAATGCCTACTTCGAGATCCTTTGTTAGGCAGGAATACCTTCGTGGTCTTCTCGATTCGATATCAGCCCTTGAGGGCTACCGAGCACGACCTGTTGAAGTAATGCCAAGTTGTGACATGAGGCAGTTGGATCGATTCATTGCTGATGCAGAAAACTCTGTGAGTTCGCAGTTCGCCATGTTGATGCAGGCTTTCCAGAAAGACGAGCCAGGTGCGCTATGGCTACAAGCAGTTGGACTTTGGCCATTGACAACTTATGTCTCCGTCCTAGAGACTCTACGCAGCACAAGTTCCGTACCGCTGACGGTATCAATGCGGGCTGCAGTCGTCGACTTCGGTGTTGCCATCACTCGGTTGCAGCGTTTTCTTCGCATACAAGATGCATCTCGTCGCAACAAGGTCCAACTTCTGCAGGACGAACTGAAAAACCCGGGTCATACAAATTGGGATCCAAATGAGTATCCCGACTGGGTGCTTCTGGAGATTGACACAAACATTCTCATCCGACCCATCCAGGTAGAGGTCGCATTGGCAACCATATCGCCGGCATCTGGATCAAATTCTGTCCTGCAGCTGAACATGGGCCAAGGTAAGACGTCCACAATTATTCCTCTTGTGGCGTCCGTCTTAGCAAATGGCCAGTCACTGTGCAGAGTTGTCGTTCCCAAAGCCTTGCTATTGCAGACTGCTCAACTATTACAATTACGACTGGGTGGGCTCTTGGGGAGAGAACTACGGTACGTGCCGTTCAGCCGTCGCACTCCGTCGAGTCCTGAAAATATTCAGGCGTATTGGGAAATTCACAGAACTATTCTGAAGAAATCCGGAGTGATTATAGCACTCCCAGAGCATATCATGTCCTTCATGCTCTCCGGCCAACAGCGACTGCTAGATGAGAAAACCGTGGAAGCCACCCAAATGATCAATGTACAGAAGTGGCTTACTAGAAAAAGCCGAGACGTGTTCGATGAAAGTGATTTTACAATGGCAGTCAAGACGCAACTTATCTATCCGTCGGGTCCTCAGATTACCGTGGATGGCGGCAACTATCGCTGGGAGAGCATAGAGGCTGTTCTCAAAATGGCGGAATCACACCTGTATGCTCTGGAGCGGACCCATGCATCTAGCATTCAAGTCGTTCGTCGCGCAACCGGGGGATTCCCGTTCGTCTACTTTCTCCGCACTGACGTTCAAACCGTTCTGATACAGCGGATAGCGACGGATATCTGCAGCGGACGGACGTCACTGCTGAACGTGGAGAACTTCTCTGTGTCCGATATAAAGGCTATCAAGGAGTTCATCACCGAGGCAAAACCTCATAAGAATGTGATGGGCTGCATTTCAGGCATTCACAGTAGCAGCCAGGCCGATGGTTATATCATATATCTTCTGCGAGGGCTCCTGGTTCATCGGATACTCATTCTCACGCTGAGTAGGCGATGGAACGTCCAGTATGGTCTCCACCCCCTTCGAGACCCCGTGGCGGTGCCATACCTGGCGAAGGGCATCCCGTCACATCTTGCGGAATGGGGCCACATTGATGTATCGTTACTCTTCACTTGTCTCTCGTTCTACTATCAAGGACTATCGCCGGAGCAACTGAAACAGAGCCTTGAGGAGATCCTCAAATCGGACGATCCAGCGCGAGAATATGAGCAGTGGACCCAAAACTCGACCGGACTCTCCGATCGCCTTCGGGATTGGACGTCCATAAACCTAGAAGATAGCCTCCAGCTGAACGAGATTTGGTGTGGTGTCCGCCACAATATCAGAGCAATCGACCACTTCCTTAACAACTTCGTGTTTCCGAAGCACGCAAAGCAGTTCAAGGTCAAGCTACAAGCCAGTGGATGGGACCTTCCTTTGGCTGGCAGCGGAACCAGCCTCACCACAGGCTTCAGTGGCACCAACGACAACCGCTTGTGTTTGCCGCTTACCATCAAACAGGACGATTTGAAGGGACTGGCGCACACTAATGCCGAGGTGTTGACTTATCTGTTACAAGACCGGAATCTGGCATACAGCCTTGCAGGTTGGAGAGATCCCTCTCAGGGACGCGCGGTCTACCGAAGACTAACGGAGCCCGACCTTCTACGCAAACTTAGCCACAAGAAAATCCGGATTTTGATCGACTCTGGTGCGATAATCCTGGAGATGACCAATGCAACCCTGGCAAAGATATGGCTTGACATTGACATAGAGGCAACAGCTGCCGTGTTCTTTGACGACGATAACAAAGCCACTGTCTTGTATCGAAGCGGGCGGAAGATTCCCTTCCTGGCATCACCTTTCGCCGATGACTTGAGCGGCTGTCTGGTGTACCTGGATGAATCTCACACTCGAGGCACCGACATGAAGTTCCCGCCCCATGCTCGTGGCGCAGTGACACTCAGTCTCGGCCAAACCAAGGACCACACCGTTCAAGCCGTCATGCGTCTCAGGCAATTGGCAACTACCCAGTCTGTCACATTTTTCGCACCGCCCGAGGTCCACCAATCGATTCTGGATTTCCGCGGCAGGGGAGAACACTGGCATCTCACCTCTCGTGACGTGGTGTGCTGGCTTCTTGAACAGACTTGTCAGGGTCTTGAAAACCTCCAACCACTCTATTATGCTCAAGGCGTCAACTACTGCCGGCGAACTCAGGCGGAGCGTGATAACCCCCTATTTTTGACAAATCCAGCTGAGCGTCTTGCTTATTTGAATGCTCTTCGAAGCTACGAACAACATTCTTTGCAAGCTCTCTACGAGCCACGTTTGGGGAAGTCAAGAAGACGTGTTCGGGATGAAAAGTTCGACGACAGCCTTGCCAAGCACATCAAGCAGCTCGAACGACGACGGAAGGCTTTTCAGGATACTGGGAATGCGGTTCACGCCTCAGCGTTGCAGGAGGTGGAGCAGGAGCGCGAGGTCGCCGTGGAAGTCGAGACGGTTCGCGAAAGACAAAACCCGTTATATTTCCACCCTCAGACCTTTTCTGGACTCGCTGAAGAGATCAGACATTTTGTTCTGACCGGAACTTTAAGGCCCGATCACAAGGTCTGCGAAAGAGCGTTCTCGTACATGGCTCGCACCGAGACAAGTCTGAAGTATCCTGCAAGTCTCCCATCCACCCCACAACTGCTTGTCTCTGCGGAATTCCGACGTGCGGTCATAGTGCCTTCTGGCAGACCTAACGATGACTTTTTGGTAAGTGCATTCTGTGTTTCGCTGTAATTTACTAATTTCGACCGCAGCGTCCTGTCCAATATGTTCTCTGGAGCATGGCTACGGAGGTCGCCATCCTAGTTAGCCCCGAGGAGGCAGAAATCTTAACTGATCTATGCCAAAGTGCCCCGAAGAAGATGGTACATCTGCTGACTTACGCGGCGCCCGTCACGCAGAAGATGCTTCAATTCAACGACTTGAATTACTATGCCGTGCCACCGCTCCCACTGGACTGGTCGGCACCGTCGTGGCTGAAGATCCAGATTGGCATCTTTGCCGGTCGTCTTTATTTCCCGTTCGAAGAGCTCGAGCAAATCCAGGCATTCTTGGGATTAGAAGATAGTCGACTGATGCGGTCTCACAATAGGTCGATCTCGGAAATAGAAGAGCTGCGGATTGATGACACAGGGAGCTCCGATGACAGTCAGCCACTTGCGGGTCAGCAACAGCAGACTGAGAAGGACACGGCAGAGGCCAAGCAGGCACAGGCGGCAAAGAGAGAAGCTACAAAAATGCTGATCTTCCTGCACGCGTGGCTTGGTACCAGAAGCCGAGGTCAGGACTTTACTTACACGCCTATGGGATACATTTGTGCGCGCAAACTGTTGACGCAGGATCATCCCTTCTTCCGGACCGTCGCAGACGACGTGGCGAGGACCAAAGTCACACATGCCACGGCCGAAGACACCTCGGGAAGCCCGGTTGCCGCACTCGATGAGGAACAGGACAATGCATCCGATTTGGAGGATGAGGAGTTGGACGAGCGCCAGAAGCTGACGGAAGAAGAGCTGCGACAAGCGGAGGAGATGGACTCAAGAGAAGAGGAGATCACCGCCGAGGATATTGAAGGCGGTAATAGGGAAGAAGCTGAGGATGGAGGTTCAGAACTGATGTTCGGTGAATGAACAACCAATCGGTCACGAGACAAGGGATGTGGGCAGAAAGGTTTTATTGCTTGTTCGAACGGCATCCATCCGTCAGGCCGAATATGAAGGATTCAAGATGTTGCTAACCATGCAGGTTTGACTCAAGCATATGTGTGGTGAAGGAGCTTGGGGTGGAACAACCCGTGCTCTACTTCTACAATTGTTGGTGTATTCGTTGAGCTGGAGCTGACAACTTTGAAGAGCTGCTGAAATGAGCTTCGATGTTCTACGAGTTGAGGGCTGTCAGAGATATCCGGCTGAGGACTGATATCTCGATTCAAGTTTGTACGACACAGATTGTCCTGTCTTGATCAACCCACGGCAAAGACTTCATCACGGATCTGGATTCTCGTTTGATTGCTCTTTCCCCCTTCACAACAGAGCAAAAGCAAGTGAACAACCCTCCTGCTATGTATGTGGTGGCATGGGCCGGACGGTCTGGAAGGCTGCACTTGAATCAATGAATGTATGCCTCTGTCCCGCCACCTTCACTTCCCCAGCTTTTGTCTTTGTTCTTCACTCTGGAATGTCCTTCCTTCTTGCATTGCCCACCCAAATGCCCTGTTAGCAGCATGCAGTCCCTCTAATGGACCCATAGCGATTGCTACTCTGAAACAAAAAGACAATGACCAATGACCACAAACGCTGCTGTTGGTGATGCGAGATGTTTCGCAGTTGCCCTCACCACAAAGAAGACGATCAACCACCTTGTTCGTCACCATCATCCCATCAATGCCAATGACTGAAAAGTGACAAACGGCTTTCTCCAACTCTGCCTCTTCTTCCTCCCTTACATTATTTTCCGTCCTGGATTCCTGTACACTCCTGCAGTATCTGCTTTTTTGAAACTGTCCTAACTCTCCGAGAAGAAAGGAGACAGTGAGAAAGATGGAGAGAAGAGGAAAAAGAACGATGACACCCAGCCCGCCCTCGCCCGGCCGGCCTCGCGCAGGCAAAGAGTGCCCGACGCCACACCTGAATGCGACACGTGAGCTCGCGGACCGCGTCCAGAGTCTGATCAAGGAAGGATATGTGGAGATCGATGGACATGAGCTGGATATTGCAACCGTGGTGGCTGTTTCAAGGTACGTTTGTTGCTGCCCGGCCAATGACACACGCATCTTTCTAACCGCAGTGACACCCACCAGGTTTGACTGCAAGCCGTTTATTAAGAGAACTCCAAAGCTCCAGGAGAACGTTGAAGCAGGACGGGACATCTTGAACGCTCATATCGATCGCGGAAGCAAGCTTTATGGTGAGCTTCGTGATGAGGATTGCTAACATTGCTTCGGGCATCTCCCCATGACTGACAGTATACGGACACAGGCATCAACACCGGCTTTGGAGGCAGCGCGGACCTTCGTACTAACGAGATGCTGGCTCTCCAGCGGGCGCTGATTCAACATCAACAATCCGCCGTCCTCACTCCACGAGACCTTGCAGCAGAAGGCGGTGATCACCAGGAGACTAGCTCGCATTCTATGCCTTCTGCCTGGGTCAAGGGCGCCATGCTGATAAGATGCAACACCAACATTCGCGGTCACTCCGCCATCGCCCTGCAAATCGCCGACACTCTTGTGGAATTCGTCCGGAGAGACATGACGCCCATCGTTCCCCTCAGAGGGTCCATCTCCGCGTCCGGGGATCTCATGCCACTCTCATACCTCGCCGGGGCTTTGCAAGGCAACCCTGACACATTTGTCCGGACTGGGAAAGGGAGGAACTTCAAGGTGATAAACGCTCGAGATGCATTCGAAGAAATCCAGCGCTTGAACCAGGAAGATGAAGCGAAGCATGGCAAGCAGCTGGTCCATGGCACAAGCATCGAGTACGCACCCATCGTCCTCGGACCCAAGGAAGGGCTAGCATTGGTCAATGGGACTGCGCCTTCCGCTACCGTCGCGTGCCTTGCGTTGTACGAGACGAACCAGCTTGCAGTTCTCTCACAGCTCATCACATGCCTCATGTCCGAAGCTCTGGCCGGGAACGTCGAATGGACGAACCCGTACATCGCAGAAACCCGTCCTCATCCCGGTCAGATTGAAGTCTCGCAGAACCAGCGCTCTTTCTTCAACGGCTCCAAGCTCGTCGAGGGCCTCGACAGTGTGAGTCGGCGCATGGAAGGGATCGTGCAGGATCGCTATTCCACAAGAACATCGTCCCAATGGGTGGGTCCGTTGTTGGAAGACCTGCTTCATGCGTCCGAGCAATTGAAGATCGAACTGAACTCGACCACCGACAACCCCATTGTCAATCTCAAGACCCGCGAGGTCCACTGCGGAGGCAACTTCCAGGCCACGGTGGTGACCATGGTTTCAGAGAAGATCAGACTCTGCCTGCAGATGATGGGCAAGATGCTGTTCGCGCAGACGAGCGAGCTGATCAATCCGGCCTACAACAATGGTCTGCCACCGAACCTGGCCGCAGATAACCCCAGTCTCTCCTTCTTCGCCAAAGGCATCGACATCAACATGGCAGCATATCAGTCGGAGCTGGCATTTCTGGCCAACCCAGTCAGTTCTCACGTGCAGTCGGCCGAGATGCACAATCAGGGGGTCAACTCGCTCGCCTTGGTTTCAGCCCGTTATTCGATGCAGAGCGTTGAAATTGTGCAGCTGATGTCGGCGTCGGCCATCTACATTGGGCTCCAGGGTGTTGACCTTCGTACCATGCACGAGACCTTCCTGGCGCAATTCAAGGCCATTGCCGAAGCCAAGATCCACCTTTTCTTTAGATACTGGGTCGGAGATATTGAGATGCAGCCTCTGACCGACGCGATCTGGGATTCAATTCGTAAGACCTGGTACGCCACCGCCAGCAGCGACGTCGAGGACCGATGCAAGAGTGTCGCAAATGCCACCCTGGAGCCGATCTTAAGCTGTCTATACCAAGTTGGCCATCACCACCAACTCGGCCACCAATTTCTCCAGGAGCGCTTTGTCCGGGAGCACAAAAATTGGATAGAAGCGCTGCAGAAGGGCATGCACGACGCGTTTCTGCTCCACCGCGCCAGCTTCTTCGACCGCCCCACCACGCCCGAGTACCTGGGCAGAGGCACCAAGGCGCTGTACCGCTTTGTACGGGGGGAGCTGGGCGTGCCATTGCACCGCGGCCACATCGAAGATCCTGTGATATGGAACAGTCTGGATGAGCGGCCGGTCAAGACGATCGGGTCGTGGATTTCTGTCATTTATGAGGCACTGAGAGATGGAAGGCTGTACTGGCACCAGGGTCACTTACGGCGATGCAGTGGGTGATGGTAAGAAACGACTCCGTCGGGTCGGGAAATTCTAATTTGCGAAGAGATTGCTTTTGAATGCATGAAAGCTGCCTATGATGCCGGAATCAACTTCTTTGACTGCGCTGAAGGTTATGCCGAGGGCAAATCTGAGGTGGTCATGGGCAAGGCTATCAAGAAATATGGATGGAAACGCAATGACCTGGTCATCTCGACCAAGATCTACTGGGGCCAGGCCCACGGAGACAACCGGGTTAATACATTCCATCCATATTTCTTGATGCATCGTCCAGACAGACACACTCCAATCGAGGAAACCGTCCGAGCCATGAACTATATCATCAACACCGGAAAAGCATTTTACTGGGAAACAAGCGAGTGGAACAGTGAGGAGATCGCCATGGCTTGGGCTTGTGCAGAGAGACTCAACTTGATCGGACCTGTCATGGAGCAACCGGAGTATAGCATGCAGCCCATTCAAGTCAAGCAGCTGAAGCCGGTGGCGGACAAACTGGGCACTGACCAGGCAACCCTGGCGTTGGCTTGGGTCTTGAAGAAGCCGCGGGTGAGCTCGGCCATCACTGGAGCATCAAAGGTTGAGCAGATTACGAAATCTATACAGGCTTTGGATCTGGGTACCAAGTTAGACGACGCCAACACTGCCATCAAGGAGGTTGTAGTTAGATAACGGTGACGGGCCAGTTTTCAGGACCATACTCAGCCCAGGCCCTGTACAGCTGGAGAAAGTGCTATCAATTGATCAACCATTTCAACTTTGACCACGTTGAGAAACTGCCCTCGCTGCGTATCCAAGGAAGGGTGATTGGTTGTTGAGGGTGTTTGGGATTGGTTGATGGAGAAAAAGTGATGATGGATGATGTCAACGGCGAAGCCCCGTCACATCTGCTTTCTGCTTCCTGCGTCAAGGTCAATCACAGAACCTCCCTTCAACTGCATCTTCACTTCAACAACAAAAGTTGAGAGCCATTGCTGTCCTCAAGCTTGTACACAGTCAAAATATTCCCTCGCTCGCCAGCATGAATCCATCACGTTTATTGACCGGGCGTCTCGCTGGTCGCCAACTGGCTGCAAGCGTGTCACGACGCTGCATCTCCTCTACCTCGTCACGTTTCAATGACAATCCTCGAGTCCATCCCAACGCCGAAGAACACCGCCAATACCAAAAGGAGAGAGCAGAAAACCCACACATGACGAATACGAACTCGACCATTCACAACAAGATGCCTTCGGTGGGGAAAGATGCGCCTCCGCCAGATATGCTGAGTGCTGCCGACTCCAACTACGTCCCGAAAGACCGGATTCCGGAGAACACAGACAGAATGACAGGGGGAACGCAACCGGGAGATCCCAACAAAGTAAGCCAGTCAGAATATGCTGTTGGTGAAATGGAGGGCATCTCGTTCCGAGTTGAGCCTCTACGTCGCACGGGAGAGGACCTTCCCACCATGAGAGCCAGATTACTATGTCGGTGCACACCCTGGCGTGCAAGACTGTGCACCCGGGAGATTTCAACGTTTCAAAGCAACGTGCTAACGCATTTCCATAGACCAAAGCAGGAAACGAGGGACATTAGAGTCTGACCTCCTACTCTCCACTTTTGCAGCAGAGAATCTATCCTCCATGAGCAGAACCGAACTCGAGCAATACGACACCTTCCTGGACGAGAACGACTGGGATATCTACTACTGGGCGACTCAGTCGCCGGCCAACACCCCTACGTCGCTCGAGTATGCGGAAGGTGCTACGGGTGAGAAGAAGACCCAGACAACCGAATACACCTCTCCGGCCAACCCAGGGCAAACACAAGAGACCGATGCATGGAGGCAAGGAGCTCCGCGCAGTGGAGAGTGGGCTCAGACCGTGGGGACTTTCAGGCCAGCGTATCGACCGGTCCCCCAACGGTGGAAGGACAGTGCGATTCTGCACATGTTGCGCAGACATGTCAGGGAAAGGAGTGCTGGCGGCGTTCTGGAGGATGTCAAGGCAGCTCCCAAGAGCAAAGGCAGTGGTGGTGGTCTTGGGAGAATGCCCGATGTCCAAACCTTTGATTAGAGAGCTTGTCTTGGCTTGTATATACACAAAGGACTACCAATAATGGAAGACGAGAGGTGTGGATTGTACTTTCTCCATCCTTCTCCATCCTTTCCACACCGCAGGTCCCTCGACGTGGCTTTCTTTGTGCCGATGCTCGGCGGCCACGGCTTTTTCGGTCCAAGGGCCGTGGTGGCATTCCACCCTCCGTTTCGGGTTTATAAGCAACCCACGAGCTCGGCTTTAACTGGTGGAAGCTGAACCCCCGCGAATCTCGTACCATCAAGTGGCAACCTGGCGAGCAAGTACGAAGATCTTGAGATCCCGCGAAGACCTGCCGGACATCTTTCTCCTGGTTGAGATGCTGAACCCACATCCGACTTGCCAATTGAGAATTTGGTGACCGCGGAATTACTCATGGGTGACCAGTGGTGCCCTGCCTATGCTGCATTGAGGCCACTCCACCGACCATTTTTCCACTGCTGGCTGTACGATCGCTGAACCCAGTGCCAGAGCTTCGAGTCCTCGCAATCATAGCCGGGCTATATGTGATCGTCGTCACCTATTTTTTTTCTCCTTCAAGATGGCTTTCGTTGCTTTGTGTCGACCTTTCTTCCCTACCTCAGCTTCACTCGCTCTCTTTGCTGGTGACATCCCGCGCTCTCTATATCTCGAAATTGGTTAGTATCTCGATTCTTTCCTCGACTCTCCACACGTCCTTTCGGGAGCCACAGGCACCACGCGTTGCCGGCAATGGCAGACGTCGAGGCCCAGCAGTCGGAGAAGAAGGAGGTTTTGCTCGATGTCCCGCATCAATATCCAGCCTCGTTGACTCCCGTCTCGACGAATCGAAGTCAGCCTCGCCCCAGTCTCCACTCCGGTCGGTCTTACGTGGATGGACACAGCACATACTTTAGTGAACCAGAGCCCGACGATGGGCCGGAACAACCGCAAGAGGTGGACGTGGAAAATGCCTCGAAGACGTTCGAAGTGGGTTGGGACGGCCCAGATGACCCTATGAACCCCAAAAATATGCACATTGCAAAGAAATGGCTGGTTGTTATAACGCTGGCCTTTGGCTCGTTGTGTGTGACGTGCACTTCTTCACTCTATACTATCACTTATGGTTAGTACAAAGCCAATTGAGCCCTCAAGCGTGGCTCAGACGCTGATGGTGCGACAGACCAAATGGACGCCGAGTTTGGCAATTCTCGTATTGTTGCAACACTCGGTTTGGCTCTCTTCGTCTTTGGCCTGGGGCTGTCTCCCATGCTTTTGGGTCCTTTGTCCGAGTTTTATGGTCGCCGCCCGATATATATTCTTGGATATATATTCTTTACCATCTGGCTGTTCCCTTGTGCTTTTGCGCAGAACATTCAAACCATGCTGGTAGCCCGGTTCCTGGACGGCTTTTCTGGAAGTGCCTTCTTGTCTGTGGCAGGCGGTACGGTCGGGGACATGTTCAACCGCGACCAGCTTCAAGCCCCCATGATGATATACACGGCTTCTCCTTTCATCGGCCCGGGGCTTGGCCCCGTCATAGGAGGCTTTATCAATTACAACACCACCTGGCGATGGTCGTATTATATGCTCCTGATCTGGTCCGGAGTGATGGTGATAGCAATCACTTTGTTCGTGCCAGAAACGTACATGCCGGTGGTGCTGAGGAAGAAAGCGCAGATGAAACGAAAAGAGACTGGAGACGAGAGGTACAAGGCTCCGATTGAGGTTTACGAGAAGTCCCTCTTCTGGACGGTGGTGAGATCGCTGTATCGGCCCTTCATGCTTCTATTCTTGGAACCCATGTGTTTCAACCTGTGCCTGTTCTCCTCCATCCTCCTGGGAATCCTCTACCTGTTCTTTGGAGCTTTCAACCTTGTCTTCACCGAGGTTTACCACTTCAAGCTCTGGCAGGTCGGTCTGTCTTTTCTCGGACTCATGATCGGAATGTTGTTGGCAATTTTATCCGACCCCATCTGGCACAAGAACTATGCTCGACTTCTCCGAAAACGAGAGGAGAGCACCGGGGAACGCAAGTCGGAACCCGAGTACCGACTGCCACCTTCGATATTCGGCGGATGGTTTTGCGTCGTTGGAGTGTTCTGGTTTGCATGGACGATCTATCCCAGCGTTCATCCAATCGTTCCCATTGTTGGCAGCGGCTTTTTCGGATTCGGCACCATTCTGGTTTTCACGGGAGTCTTCACCTTTCTCGTCGAGGCATATCCCCTTTATGCGGCTAGCGCCCTGTCCGCCAACTCGTTCGCGCGGAGCTCGTTTGCTGGGGCATTCCCTTTGTTCGGGGTTCAGATGTACAGGAAGCTCGGCTTCCATTGGGCCACGACGCTTTTGGCATTTCTGTGCGTGATCATGGCGCCATTTCCGTATCTATTCTTCATTTACGGGAAGAGGCTACGGCAGAGGAGCAGATTCACAAACATTTCTGGATGAACATGGGCGTTATTGGTAACTAGACTGCACGCCGGAGACTGGGCTCTCTTGCATTTTATAAGTTATGATACAAATCCGATGGATCTCAGTGTCGCACCGGAACATGCGAGCTTCAAGACTCTGCATTACGAAACCGCATGTCCTTGCACGGAGTAAGACTGCTGTGGACAAGATCACCCTGCCAGTCTAAACTACTCAGCTGCCGAACCTGGCCCCCCTTTTCATTTTCTCTGCTCATCCAGGGCCGGATATATCTGCCGTGGCCATTTCCCCTGCTTCTTCGAAAGGGGCGACGAAAGAAACTCCCGATACCAGGGAGCGGCCAGACGGGTTCCTGCGACTTGCGGTTGCAGGTAGCTTGTCGGAGTTATGATGAGGCAGTGGGGAATGCAGTCTGAGATGGGGCTCTTCTGCATTACACTGCATCAAGCATTGTCAATCAATGCACACAACCACGGCTGTCTTTGTTATCGAGGTAAGGGGCTACGTCCGCGTAGCGTGGGATTCAGGACGTACGTCCAAAGGTTTGGGCCTGGGCGGGATCACAATGCGCGATGTAAAAGGGACGAAACGAACGGCAACACGCCAGTCCCTGGACAATGCTGGTTACACCAAACGCGATGCGGTGAGTGCTTCAAGGTGGTAGCACGAATTCACGACGGCGAGCACGTGTCGCATCATCTTGTCGGTGTGCATGTCTCCTTGAACTTTGGCAGTGATCAGTATGACCTGGTTACTTGGCGAACGATGGTAATACTACCCGCTCTCGCTGACGCCTGACACGGCAATGCGAGCCTGAGCCGACACGGTCCGGGAGCGTCGGGTGAACTCGGGCAGCCTCGTCTCGAGGTCAAACCGACCTCGGCAGGTGTGCGAGGCTTGCGAATACAATTATAGGCTTGACTGAACCAGTCATGGGTAATTCCGAAATATGATTCCCCTGTGGAGACAAGTTGCTGCCCAAATGCCGTAGATGTTAGAAGGTACTACCTAGGTAGGTACCTGGGTACCTAGTAGGCGGGGAAGTTTGGTGGTGATGTGTGTAGTGAACGCAGGGAACAGTGTAAACCCAGAGGCCAACTAGTCTCCGGATTAATTTCCTGCTTTTTGAGGTACTAGGCTACTCGGATGCTCGAGCAACTTGGGGGCCCCGGGAGGTTACCCCGAGACGCAGTTATAGTTGGTTGCTTGTTAAGGACCAGGACGGCTGGGAGACGCCGAGGGAATTTTAGGTTGGTGGTTTCGAGGGGCGGTGCCTAGCACGGGGAGTAATAGGTGAACTGGTGGCTCCAGGTGCAGGCCGTTGCAGCCGGGTGGGTAACCAGCATCATCAGGCTGACGATTCAGCTTGCCCAGCACGGAGCACCAAGCGCACCCAGCTCCTAGGTGCCCGGTGCTGAGCTGCTGGCTCTTTAGTGAGCCCCTCACCCGCGCCCCCGTCCTTGCCTTCAGGCATTACAAGATTTTGTGGGGTCGCTTATAGTTAAAAGAGGCCTAGCAAATCATCACTCACACTAATCTAATGATTGCGGCGAGGGCACTTCAGGACCCAGCGAGCCAGGCCCTTCACTCACACACTCTTGGAACCCAGAAACTCTCGCACCTCGTCGCCTCTTCTTCCCCCCTCTGCTCCTCAATCCCTTTTACTCCTGCACGGCGCATGGGAACTCTGACCTCTGCAGCGACGACGACTGCAGAGCTGTTGCATTGACAGCGCCACATTAGGCCGCTCTGATATCAGCTACTAAGAGTCTGCCAAAACCGACTCCGCACCCCGAGGCGCGGTCGGAGCCCTGGCTGGCTGGAGAAACTGCACCCTTGACGCTGCCCGCCCTCTTTGGGCCGATCCTCTGCTGCCCGCATTTTCCAAGTCTCCTCAGTGCTCGACTCACTCGACCATCCGCCATCCGCCAACCTCAGATCCAACCCAAAAATGCTCCAGCCCTGCTAACAATCCGTGTCATCAGAAGTCGGCGCTGAAGGAGACACTTTGCATTCCTCCTGAAGGCAGCTATTCCTCTGCTATCCGGTGCCACCTGCACCCCTCCGCCTCCCCAAGCCGCCGCACAACCTTTGTCCTCCCTGGGCCCTCGACACGAAAGCGCCAGAAAAAATTGCTCCTTTTGTCATACCCAGCAGAGTCGCACGAACTTTGTTGCTGGCTTCCTTGCGCAATCTGGCTGGACAAGCGAAACCCCATCTGCCATCAACCTCCAATCTTGCGCCGCGGTCATACACAATTGTCGCTTCTCCTGCCGTTCCGCTTGAGAGGGAGCTACTTCCTGCGATCCAACCGCCTGGTCCCCATAGGGGGTTCGCGTCCTTGGTTTACGCGAGCTGAACCGACGGTGGATCTGTAAGCTAGCGGAGGCCTGCTTCTGAGAAAGTGTCATTCGGTCATTGTTCCAACCGGGCAAAAACATTTTCGGATCCCCGTGTTACTCTGGCTGTTCTTGTGCAAGCCATCTTTTTGCATCCTGCATTCTCTGGCATCTCATTTATGGTGTCGTTATAACAAGATGACGGCCTCAGATGTCGAGGATGGGCACTCTCATTCGGCCTCTCCTGAGGACAGTGGGACCGAACACGTCCAAGTGAATATGGCCCAAGGTCAGAGCAAGAACGACGTAAAAAAGCAGCAAAATGGAGCCCAGTCCACCAATCCAAAGGATCCTTCTCGTCCCCGGAGGAAGAAGGCACGTAGGGCATGTTATGCTTGCCAACGTGCCCATTTGACCTGTGGTAGGTTGACCTCTCGAACTCTGTCATTCTGCACCGCTGACACTCTTTCTAGGTGACGAGAGACCATGTCAAAGGTGCATAAAGCGAGGACTACAGGATGCGTGCCAGGACGGCGTCAGGAAGAAGGCAAAGTATCTGCATGATGCGCCTAATGAAGCCCTCATGCCTGGGGTTGGAGGAAACCTCTACAACCAAGGAAGTGCGAACTCCAACTCGAGTGTAGGAAATGACACCCCCCAGCAACAATCGTTCTTCCAACAAACGCCGACGTACAACAACTTTCCCACGCCCTCGCACATGCCTCCCCCAATGCTCCATGAGAGAAGTATGAGCACGACCAGCTTCCCCCAGCAGTCTCCGCTCTCAACCAATTTCCCCAATGTCGCATCGCAAGTTCCTCTGCAAAGCCCTGTCATGGGTGCTGATCAATCCAATGCCGCCAACATGACGACAGCAGGCTGGCCAGGGCAGATGTATAGCGATGATCCCATGTTCAACTTCGACATTGCGAGCATGAACTTTGGCAATCATTACGGTGCATTGGAGTTTGGCATGCTTGGTCATATGGCGACAAATGCGGGAGACACTCCCCCCAGCGATACGGCGACACGAAGCGGGTCCATCACGCAGTATCGTATGCCTTTTGGCAGCTTCAGCGAGAGCCCTACGGCTCGGCAACAGATGTACGGCGAAACGATGTTGCCTGATTGGTCCAACGGGACCGACCCCTATGGCGCCCATGGACACGGTCGCCATATGGCTCCCAACGCCTTTGCGATAGAATCGAACGCGGTCAATTGGACCTCCCCTGACACGAATGGCACACCCAACAATGCTGTCAAATTCGAAGAGTCACCCTTGATGACCAACTCAGGCCTCCAAGTTCCCCCTTCTGCCTTGGACGGGGGTCCGGTCATTCATTCTACCGGAACCCTGGACGCAAGGAACAATCGGCCCCCTCCTCCTATATCGACTCCGCAGTTGAAGGCCAAATCTGCGCTGCCTGTCAAGGCTTTGAAGCGGCCCAAAGATCCGTCGTCGATCTACACGTCCGTCACCCAACCCTATCCTTATACGGCAGGGTTCCACAGCTTCATTGCCTACCTCCAGAAACGATTTGCCGCACATCCTTCCAAGACGCTTGCCATAGCGAAATCCTTGGCGTCGATCCGACCGTCCTTCATTGCAACGACCAAGACCTTGAACCGGGAAGACCTGATCTTCATGGAGAAATGTTTCCAGCGGACGTTGTGGGAATATGAGGGTTTCATCGAAGGTGTAGGCACTCCAACAATTGTGGCGAGGAGGACTGGAGAAGTTGCGGCTGTAGGCAAGGAATTCCAAATCCTCACGGGGTGGACGAAGAATGTGCTGCTCGGTCGGGCGCCCAACCTGAATGTGAACCGCGGTCACTCCGGGCAAACGCCTGGCACCGGTTCTGGGACCAACACTGCACGGCATACAGGGACTAACACTCCTACGCAACGAATGTTGTTGGAGACGGAGAACGGCGAGAAACGACCTCAACCGGTATTCCTTGCGGAACTGCTTGACGATGAATCGGTGGTGCAGTTTTACGAGGATTTTGCGCGACTGGCATTTGGAGACAGCCGCGGCAGCGTCTGCGGCAGGGCCAAGCTCCTCAAGTACCGGACCAAGGACGACGAACTCGCCCAGAATCTCCATGTCGAGGCTGAGGCGCGAAGCGACGAGCGCCAAGTTCCACCAGAGCTGCGACGGCAAGACAGCTCTCGTCGTCAACATGAGATGAAACGGGAGCGCGATGGTATATCTGGCGAAAAGGGCATGCAAAAACTGGGATCTGCCGATGGGAAAGTGGATTGCACATATTGTTGGACGGTGAAACGTGACGTTTTCGATATACCCATGCTTATTGTTATGAATGTGAGTTGTCCGTTCGCTTTTGTTGCTTTTGACAGGCTAACATGAGACGCAGTTTTTGCCTTGTATATAGGCGAACTCAAAAGTTTCTGCAATTGACGACTGCCTTATGTATCAACTGGAGGTGGAGATCGGATACCTTGGCACACGGTCTGGGAGATTGGTGTGGAGGGTTCTGTCGGCTTCTGACCAGGCAATGGATCCGGCGAAGAACATGGTCCATTTACCCGCAGTTGAACTGAGGGAGTACACTATCTATATCACCGGGGTCGTAATCTGGAAGGGGGACTTCCACTCCTGTTGGTTCCCTGGCCCGAGAGCCTGGCATTGTCTATGAATTGAAAGATTGCGAGGCAGGAGAAGTTCTTTCTATTCATATTGGAGACTTGACTCGACTCGACTTGACTTAGTGTCCAGACTTTATCGTTGCCAGCCTCTGGAAATCTATATGCCTGGCCCAGGGACGGAAGTGCCCTTGCTCTATGAATCTAAGCCTCCCCTACAGAACCTCTGATATCTTCACGTCACGTACGTATGTATGTAAGTACATACGTAGGTCCTGTCCATCCCATCCCATCCACCTAGGTAAAAATCCCACTCCATTTAATCCTTCTTCAAGACCCTCTTCTCGACCTCGTTGGCATCCACGTCCTCCATCCACGAAAAATCCGTCAACCACCTTTCCCACTCTGCGTTTTTGTACCGGCGGTACGCGTCGCGCTCGAGACTGCGGCTCGCGACGGCGCAGTCGACCTTGATGTCGTCCACCAGGGCGTCGAGGCTGACGTAGTCGTACTCGGGCCGGATGTAGCCCAGGATCAGCAGGTTGAGGGCGGCGCCGTAGAAGTCGCGGGGGAAGTCGTGCAGGATGTGGATCTCGACGGAGCGCACCGTGTTCTTGTAGAACGGGTTGTAGCCGATCGAGAGCACGGCCCGGTGGATTGAGATCAGGGGTGGAGCGGGGATGGAGGAGGAGGAGGCGGCGGCGGACGGACAGCTCTTCAATGATAGGCCGACGAATCCGTAGTAGATCCCGCTTGGTAGGTCTGGGTGCGTGGTCGAGAGGCCTTCGGTGGGGATGTTGGCGGTGGGGATGCCGAGCTGGACATATCATGGTCCCCAAGATTGGGGGAGTTTTATTAGTTTTGAAACTTTTTTGGGATTCTTTTTGAGCGGGGATTTTGGGATCGGGGATATAGGATGGAGAGATGTAGGGGAGGGGGGAGGAAGAGGAGAAGAGTGCAGTGCTGTGGCGAGAGGAGGAAGGGGGGGCTTTAGGGGTGATGGATGAATGAGGCTGAAGATGAGAGACTGGGACTGAACTGGCGTGACAATCTCATCCAAGGCAGCCAGCCAGCCAGCTTTCTTATTCGATCCTGTACCCTTTCTCATCTTCCTCTCTCTCCTCCCCTTCTCGACCCCGGGCCCCCACTCAGGATCCACGAGCCAGCTCCAGATTTGCCATTCCCTCTCACCCATCCCAAGGAGAGAGAAGATATCGACACGAACCGCACCAAAACTCCACGAAAGGAAATGAAAAAGGGAAATTCAAAGCAAACTGCTCAACTCACCTCCTTACTCCCCCGTCCAAACCCCTTGATCACCGGCCCGCACAGCTTGATCGGAAATGGCGGCTCGGGCCCGGATTCAGGCCCGGCGTACGGGTCGCGGGGACCGTTGGGTCGCATTGAGATTCGTTGGATATCCTGTGGATGTAGCGGTAATGGTAGATCGGTGGGTGATGGTAGGACAGTAATTGTGCGGATAGGCGGTTTTAGTGTGGTGTTGGGGGTCGAGAGAGATATGATATGTGCGCGGATAGAAGTCGCAGATGGGGAAGTAAGCAGGGAAGAAAGAGTGAGACGAGACTGATAAGTGTAGATTCCAAGAACCCTGCGTTGATATTCCCCGTCGCCGTTGCCGCCGCCGTCGTCGTCGTGGTCGCAGTCGGTGTTGTCTTTCGATAGCCGATCTCGCTGTTAACAACCTGGTATGTGATAACCACTTGAAACTGGTTTTCTTTTTTTTCTCCGTACGGCGTGTTTCTGCCGCCTTCTATCGGCCTTCTATCCAAACCTTGGCTTGGGGGCGGAGGCAAGTCAGCGGCCTGAGAGGATATTGAGTACCCGTGGAGAAACGAAATGGAAGATACGAGCTGCGTTCAACCACACTTGGAGCGTTCCAGCAGAGATAATGAACTCAATAGTCATCAACTGCGAAGCCGAACACGAAAGCCCTGGATCCGACTGGCCAATCGGATCGTGCACTGTCAGCCTTGTCAGCCTTGTCCGCCTTGTGCCCCGAACATACTGCGTACCTAGTAGTCGTAGACGACAATTCTCTCACAGCGGCGACGTGATATGATTATTCTTTTGTTGCTTCTATCTATACACCAACTTGACTATACTGCGTAGGATCGTCTACCGCCGCCATGTCCCACCCCGGTCATTTATACATTGGCCGAATACCCAACACTCGGCATGCGTCCACTACTTCTCCTCTCAATCCATTTCCTCAATTCATCCACCCAAAACACAGCGCTGCTTAAGCACACCAGCGAGATCAGGTCCCACAGACCCAGCCCTTCGGTCTGAAACACCCGTTGCAAAAATGGCAAGTATATGACACACAGTTGGCCCGCGAGACTGCCCGCGACCGCGTAGTTGAACATTTTGTTTCCAAACAGCTTGATTTCGCCAAACAGCACCGACTTGGATTCCGAGCGGCAGGTCAGCGCATTGAACATGTCAAAAAGCACAAACGTCGTGAAGGTCATGGTGGTGTCGCGTTTGGTCACCACTCGAGTGCGAAGGGGCGTCGACTTGACCGCCGACGGGTCGACCGACGGATCATCAATGTCCACCATCTCTCGAAGATAGATGAAGAGAGTCCCCATCATGATAAGAGACGCCGACGTCAGGACGCGGCGGATGAGTCGTTTGGTCAGCACGTTCGCATTGCGAGGTCGCGGCGGCTGCATCATGACCAGGGGATCGACTGGTTCAACCCCGAGAGACTGGGCAGGAGGGCCATCCATGAGAATGTCTGAGACATGTTAGTCTGTCTCGCGGAAAGAATCGTGCTGATGACCACTTACTGATCCAAAGAATCTGCATGGCATTAAGCGGATTCTTGAAACCAAACATGGTACTGAGAAGGACCAAACTCAACGCCGCAACGCTCGTGCTCAGCTGGAACGTGATAAAGTTCTGAATGTTGAAGAAGATGCCCTTTCCCTGTTCAATGGCGCGGAGAATCGTGGAGAAGTCGTCGTCAGTCAGGATCATATCGGCCGCCTCTTTGGCCACATCGGTTCCGAGCTTTCCCATGGCCACTCCAATATCGGCCTTTTTGAGGGCGGGCGCATCGTTGACTCCATCTCCCGTCATGGCAACCACGTCTCCCCGAGCTTGGAGAGCTCGAATAATCTTCATCTTGTGGTCTGGGCTAGTCCGAGCAAAGATGTTCGTCCTAACGATGGCTTCCGACAGTTCTTGCTCCGACATACGGTCCAGCTCATCGCCTCGGAGGACGGACCTCGACCCTGAACTGGCCTGGTTGATGGGCATTCCGAGATTTTTCGCAATCGCCACGGCTGTCGTCTCTGCATCGCCCGTGATCATGATGACTTTGACTCCTCCATTCATCAACCGACGAATGGATCTGTTCACATGTTTCCGTGGAGGATCGTTCATCCCGACCAACCCTGCAAAACACAAGCCAGTAAACATGTCCGTTTCTGGCTCCCCGGGTTTCTTATTTCCCAATGTTGGCGTGGAGCTTCTGCTGGTCTGCCGTGTCCTGTTCCTGAGGACGCCACTGGCAAACCCAATTACCCGGAGTCCCTCCTCTGCCATTGCTTGCGCCGCCGCACTGGCTTCGTTCCGACGGCTCTCGTCAAGTACCACTTCTTGACCATCTTTGGTCAAATACGTGTCCGACCTGCTCAAAATCTGTTCCAACGAGCCTTTGATGTAAGCCGTCTCCGACCCCAGTCCATAGCCGTTGGTCGCCTCGCTCAGAGCACTACCTATGACGACGCCCATCCACTTTCTCTCGGAACTGAATGGTGTCTCGCTCGTCCGCGGCCCAATCTTTTCACGGACATCGTCTTCACCGTGCACATCCAGCAAGTCGAGCATGGCGATATCAGTAGGTTGACCCAGCCATCGGCTCTTCGTGACGGTCGATGACCTATCTCTAGTAGAGGAAAGCACCGCCGCAGAGGCAGCGGTTGCAGGGGTTCCGGAAGCGTTCTGAGAAAGGCGACCGTTGTTCGCGATATTGCCAATTCGAAGAATGGCTTTGGTCGCGGATGTGAGTGCTGCTGTGGGGTCGATGGAGAACGGCTTGCCTACGTCGAAATGCCACAATTTGGTCACGGTCATGTGGTTGAGGGTCAAAGTTCCCGTCTTGTCGCTGCAAACCACATTTACCGAACCCAATGTCTCGACACTTGGGAGCTTGCGAACGATCGCTCCTCGTTTAGCCATTCGCAACACCCCCAGGGCAAGAGTGACGGTGACAATGATGGGCAACCCTTCAGGAATCGCGGCAACAGCCAGAGACACTCCGATGGTGAATAGATCCAACAGTTTCTTGCCCTGGAGAAGACCGATGATTATGATGACTCCAATGACGACGAAAGACATATAGCTGAGCTGCTTTCCTAAAAGATCCATCGACTGCTGGAGAGGCGTGCGCGGGGCCTCTATCTCCTGCAGAGACAACGAAATCGTCCCAAACTCGGTCTTTCCACCAGTTGCGATGACGATTCCTTCCCCGTGGCCTGACCGAACCAGCGTCCCCATGAACGCGATGTTGTGCTGCTCATTGAGGCGCACGTCGGCGCCCACCGTGCCCGCTGCATTGTACGGTTCGGGGGTACCATGGTGCTCCGACCTCCGGATGGTCGGGTCCAGAGCAGTAGGGAACTTTTCTACCGGTTCGTTCTCCCCAGTCAAATTGGATTCGTCAATTGTCAGCTCGGCAGCATGGGTGATTCTGATGTCGGCCGGAATGCGGTCGCCGGTGGCAAAGATGACCAGGTCTCCCACCACAAGCTGGGACGCTGGTATTGTGGTAGACGATTTCTCCCCAGGCGCAATCGCAGCGCCGTTTGCCAATGGCTCCATCTCTATTTCATTCTCAGCATTTTGATTTCTAGTCATGTGCATGGTCGACCGGGGCGCCGAACGTCGGACGTGGGCGTAATGGGGAACCAGGCGGTTCAGGGCCTCCAAGGATTTCTCCGAGCGGTATTCCTGCACAAAAGCGACCGTGACAACAATGGTGACGGCAAGAGCGATACTGACGGCATCGTCCTTGTTCCCGATGAAGAGTGAGATGGCGGCAGATGCGAGTAGCAGCAGGATCAGCGTCTCCTTGAACTGCTTGAGGAATCGCAACCATAATGGCTCCTCCTCTTCATGGGGAAGCTCATTGGAACCATTCTTTACCAATCGCGCATGTGCCTCGGTTTGTAGCAAGCCCTGAGTGACGGAAGTCTTCAATTGCTCGGCCGTCTGCTGGGGGGTGAGGAGAGAGTAAGAGGATGTTATCGAGGAGGAGGTGGAAGCGTAGCGGGCAGGACTCCGCGGCCTGTTTGTCTGGGATTCTGCATTGAAGACCGGCAGTAATGCTGACATGATGGCATGGTAGCTATATTGACTTCCGCCCCATCCTCCGCAAATGGTACAGTGAGGAAGAAGAGTCGAGTGGATGGACGGTTGTATCGCATGCGCAGATGATGAAGACTAGAGAGTGAATTCGAAACAAATATCGACAGTGAGGATAAGAGAGTACCTAATAAGACGTTGTCACACGAAGAAGGCTTCAGAGACGCGCAGCGGATATCGGTTGGAAAGAAGATTGGGGGTCGCAGTAAGATAGGGATCCTCTCTCTCTGCATCCGGCATCGAAATCTTGCAAATTGCAGTGACGCTACGGCAATTTACAGCATCCCTATAGAGGAAGGTCAAGCGAGGCACGAGAAGGCTGCGGCATTGGCACGTGACTGACTCGTGATTGGGCGCAGCGGGCGGCGAGGCTGATGGCTGGAAGGCTTTGGGCCTTTGGCCACCAAAACAAGATCAACCCGCCAACAGTCGTGAGTCGTGACTCGCCCGCCTGCATCTCAATCGCAGTCGCACGCCCAGCCACTCCACCTCTTCTTCTCCTCTTCTCCTCTTCTCCCCCGACCATTCATTATTCGCATCCCTCAAGTCGCACCTACCACCACCAACCTCTTCATTACTTTCTCACATTCTTCGTCGTCTCCAGCGCGCGCTCTCCTCAGCGTTAGTTCTTTGCAACATCTCCTTTGCCTTTTGACACCGATTTGTCTTCGCATCCACCTGCGCGACCTGGAATCAACACAATCCCTCCCTCGACGCGTCGATCGTCCATCGCCCTCTTCGACAACTTACCTTACCCTCCCCTCACTCGTTCACATGTCTCTGTAACCTCACGCACATCTCAGCTTCTCACTCAGCCTCAAAATGTTTTATTCCGAACCGCTTCTGTCCAGGACTGGGCCTCTGGCTCGTGTCTGGCTCGCCTCCAATCTCGAGCGCAATCTCACAAAACCCCAAGTCCTACAATCAGATATTCAGAGCAGTGTTGCTGTCATTGTTGACCAAGGACATGCCCCTCTAGCCTTGCGCCTCAGTAGCCACCTCATGCTGGGCGTGGTGCGCATCTATGGGAGAAAAGCCCGATATCTGCTCGATGATTGCAACCAGGCTTTGATCAAGATCCGAATGGTGCGTTGCTTTGGCTCCCACCATGATGCCCTGCTAATAATTGACTAGACATTTAAATCGACCAACAATCATGATCTGCCAGTTCATGCGACAACCGCCGCTGATCTCAACCTGCCTGAAATGCTCACCGTCGAGGATTTGTTCTCCAGCATGAACTTCACACATCCCATGAGCCAGCTGCCGGCCGCCATAAGCGACCCAAGCCAAAATGAGGAAGACTGGACCAGCTCCCTCAACCCCCAGCAGAGTGGTACACAATCAATGCTCACACCGAACGAAGAAACATTATACCATACAGACGACCTGAATCTCGACTTTGGAGACGGCGACGATGTGGACATAAACGATACCACCATCAGCATGAATGTTGGCCGAAATGCACCAACCCCGCAACCCGCTGGCGATGCAGAGCGTCTCCTTTACGACGACGAAGATGGCCTTAACTTGGATTTTGGTGACGACACACCTATGCCGGATCAGCCTCATTCACCAATGGCAGATGATATCGTACCTCCAGTCGGTGAGGACGAACCGCTTGAGTTCGGAGATGATGAAACCCTCCAATTACAACAAATGGCGGAAGGCGCGCATGGGGTGCGGGCCACAGAAACTCCCTTATCAGACGCTAACTCCAACGTCCTTCGCGACCTCGATCGGACGTTCCAGAACCAACAAGAAGAGGAAATCGAAGAGGTGGTCGTCCAGCAACGTCAGCGGAGCAAGAAGCAGAAACCGATCGCGCCCGACGTTGAAACCGTTCTCCACAAGGGGCAAATGAAGGCACAAGCAGAAGACCGGTCGAAGATCTTGCGTGCTCCCTCGCTTCTCCCTCGTGACCCTCTCCTCCTAACGTTGATGAACATGCAAAAGAACGGCGACTTTGTCTTGAACGCGATGAATGATGGCCGGTCAAGAGACTGGGCGCCTGAGCTCCAAGGTCTCCTGTCATTCGAAACAGTGACGAGATCTGGGCAACTCAAGCGGAAACGAGATAGCGGTATTGCTGGACTGAGCGAAGACGAACACAGTGAAAAGTCTCCACGACTAGAAGGCCCAGGGGATGCAATGGAGGATGAAGGTGTGCATCTTGACGATGCTCAGCGCGACATCACTTTGGATGACACGTTGCCACGACCCATGAGCGAGGGTATTCCAGGCTTGGACGATGTTGTCGGTGACGAAGATGACGGCGGCATTTTTGGTGGCGATGACACTTTTGACGATACAACGGTCCCGCTCGTCCATCCCGCTGACAGTGGCCCAATCTCACTCGGCACGCAGCATGCAGTGCATCTCCTGCGTGACCGACTTGGCGATGCTGAGGGCGCCCATCCAGCTTCGCCAGCCAAGAAATCCGTGCTCCTCCAAGATCTCGTCCCAGAAGGCCGGACAAGCAAAGAAGAGGCCACCAAGATGTTCTTCGAGGTGCTAGTGCTGGCTACCAAGGACGCAATCAAGGTTGATCAACCCTCGAAAGCAATAGGATTGCCCCTGCGGATCAGAGCGAAACGAGGCCTATGGGGATCGTGGGCAGAGACAAGCCCCGGCGAGGACCCTGCTGCCCCAACAGCCTCTCAGCAAGTGGCTGCCTCGGCCTAAAGCGGTTGGATTTGGGAATGGTTTAGTCGTGGCATCAATGACTATGATTCTGGACAGTTCTTTTTTTGGAGATCACTGGTACTACCTGGGACGGATTGGGGCCGGCAATGCCTGTATTTTGAGCGGGCTGGGAGGGCCTGGATGACGACCACAGGAAGTCTTTGGATACGGGGTTTTCATCGTTGGGAAAAGGCTACGACGACGAAAGCGAAGGCGTGCTGCGTGCCGGGCTGGGTAGGGCTGGTTTTGCAGGCAGCCATAGATACCCCAGTACGACTGCAGATAGAGGCTAGGTCCACAGTGAATGAGGATATGGCTTTGTTCCTTACTCTAGATCCGTCAACAGTTTGCACAAAGTCGGCGAATTTGCATTGCGAAGCTTGAATGGAGCTTGAATGGAGCCTCGTTAATCGAATCCTTTGAATCCTGCGACTCGGGCCTTTGGCGCGTGCCGGAACTTAAATCTACCTACCTAGGTACCTTCGCACTTGAATACCTACCTAAGGTACCTACCAGGTACGAGGGTATCTACCTAGGTACCTAGGAAGGGAGGTATTGCTATTAGCACCTAATCCCTTCAGGTGGGCAGGTACACATGCCACTTCCGTATGCACCGGATGCTTAAGTCAACAAGCGGAAAGCATACAACAACTACCGTGGTCGGACGCCGCCTCTGCCTCAGGCCTCCCCTCTTGTACAAATACGGATTTTGCACACCAGGTCGACGTGCATCGGACGAGCTGATGTGATGGTTCGAGATTCTGCCCAAGTCGCAGCTCCTGCACGGCTTTGGGGCCGGCATGTGCTGGGGACACGCAGCTTGCAGGCCCCAAGTCTTCTCATTGCGGCGACAGCCTGATGGTCAAAGTGCCGGGTGCGCCTTGGTTGTTGCTCAGCCAGGTTGCTAATCCCTGTCAACGTTAGTAACAAACTGGCCTACAGCTGCAATGCCGGCACAGACGGCTGCACCACCACTTAGACCTTGACGTGCTGCCGTGCTTGTGGACGGAATCAACCTTACCATCCTGCGTCCAGTGGCTTCTTGACCTATCAACGACTGCTCGAAGATGCTAGTCTCACTGGAGAACGGGCCATCTGCATGCGATAGAGTGGTGTTGATGCAAGCACGGCAAGGTTGGGGGCTGTGAATGAATCGAGAGCCTCAATGGCCCGCTGCTACATATACCAGCAGCTACTTCTACTACAATGCAGCCGATGTCAGACATCCGTCCGCCCACCAAATGCTGATGTCCTCTGTGATCTCTCCGTCAACATGGAACCCTTTGAGGCCGGTACACCAAGGGATGATGTGAGCAGCATCGTGTCCTTCGAGCTCGTCGATACCGCTCCAACTGCAAAAGACGTTTCGACAGCTTCGACTATCGCTGTAAGCGAATCCGATGCGGATCAGGAGTCTCCATATCCTCTGTCAACCAGCTTTGACCCTACGACACGGACAAAGTTACGCGAATGGAGAGATATTTTGAGATTATACCTCTCTTATGGGAGGGCAGTCTTGACCGATACATGGTGGCCCGAACTGTTGGCTCTTACCTTCAGCTTTTCTTGCTTGGTCGAAATAATCATGACCCTCAAATACTTCAATGGTTTTCCGCTCTCTCAGTTGCCCTGGGGCCTGACATTGAACACGATACTTTCCGGCCTCGCTGCAGCTTCGAAATCCTCCCTGGTCTTTGCTGTCGCTGGGACAATGAGCCAGTGCAAATGGTGCTGGCTCAAATCTGGTCCAGCGCGCCGGAGACGGCTTGCACATCTACAGGACGTCGACGAAGCAAGCCGTGGTCCTCTTGGTTCACTCATCTTGCTACTTGGTAACACTATGGCATCTCTCTGTTATATTGGTGCCATCATTATCATTCTTGGGCTGGTCTATGAGCCCTTCATTCAGCAGATTGTCAGCTTTCCCGTGCAGCAGACCAACGTGACTTCTTCAGATGCGACAGTGGACCAAGTAATCGCCCTGGATTCTCAGAGCTTCTCTGAATCTCTGAGGGGCTTCGCAGTTGGCGGTATCTATGGCAATCCTTTTGTCGACCGTGCGCCGTCCTGCTCTACAGGCAATTGTACCTGGGAACCATTCTGGTCAGTTGGCTGGTGCGCAAAATGCGAGCAAATGCAGCTTCGATCTCAGTTATGCAACTTCACCCCGCAACAAATCGTGACACAGGGTGCAAATCTGACCAAAACCTGTGACTTTTACTTTCCTGAAGGCTATGCATTGCAGGCGACCTTCGACGCCACCACCGGCGTGGGCTCGGAATGTTCCGCGGACGACCAATTCTCTATGTCTTTGAATTACACTCCTATCTGGCCGCTGTCAGCTGGGGAGTATAACCAGACTAACGTACCTGTTATCACTGGATATTTTTCAAGTTCCTCAGAGTTTCTTGGAGAGATCAACCCGCTCCTCGCTCTAGGTTATGTGGAACCACTGGCCTCGAAGGCAGATAACAAGACATCACTACCAGAGACTATGTCACAGGCTGGTCAGGCTGCACCGGCTACAATGTGCATCCTGACTCCATGTGCCAGAAGGTATAATGTGTCCGTTGTGAACGGAAGCACAATCAACCAAATACTCGAGGTCAACTACGGTTCAATAACTACAGATGAAGCGGAATCCGGCTACCTCTGTTGGCAGCCGCACACGACGGGAGTCTTGGATGATATTTCACCAGACGCCACTACTTCCGTCTCCCTACAAGCTCTCTCATTTTGTTTTATACAACAATGGATCCAGGATATACTCTCCTTGCTCCACGGCGTCTTCAGCGCTACCTGGGCACCGCACTCAGAGACATGCTTTTATCCAACCTCTGGGACCGGCAACTTCATCCTTGACGATGTTCTGCTCCAGCAACACAGTGATCCGACTGTGTTCATACCGAACATCGCCAAGGCTCTGACATACCTCAGTAGTCAGAACACGACTGACCTCACTGGCAGGCCTCTTTCGGGCACCATCTTCACGGACAAAACGTTTGTCGCCGTTCGCTGGATCTGGCTCTCTCTGCCTTTAGGTCTGAATGTTTTGGGGCTCGTGTTTCTCCTCGTGACTGCAATCTACACCAGAAGGAACAAGGTGCCGTTGTGGAAATCCTCGGCCTTTGCACTCCTATACCATGGCCTCGAAGCCGGTTTACTGGACGACGAGAAAGTGTATGAGACCACCAGCGACATGGAAAAAGCCGCGAGCACGACGGAAGTCTCGCTGAGGTCAGATGGTCTGGGCCGGAAACGATTGCTCTTGCGTTCTGACGATTGATTGACCCTAAATGGATTTCATTGACGGAGTAAACATGGCGACGAGCAACAGTCTATGACAGATTCACCGCTGGTTCTCTGTTCTCTGCAATTTTCAACGACAGAGCTATTTGACTTCCATAACACCCCTGTACTGGGACAATACCTCAAGCTCGGGCGACTGATTCCACTCGGAAAGATGAGAAGGCAGGACTCCGAGGGCCCGTACTGAGCAGAAGATGGCGTCTTTTCTTGGCGCTAGACGTCGACTCAAGCGGGCGCACCATTGCGCGTGATCAGAAGGAGACCCTGTTTCAGGGACATGAGATTGTTGAGGGTTGGGGAGGGACCAGATCGTTCGGAGCGCGCGGAAGCCTACAACCAGAGAACGCGCGCCTGCGAGACACACGTCCGACGCCGAGAAGGTCGAAGTGCGCGTTTGCTCCGAGAGCTGTTCGGTCCTGCTGGTGCATCTGCCATGTATGTAGAATGTATGTGGCATGTTGTGTGGCCCCATAGTGCAGCTCGGATTGCAATGTCGAGGCGATGTGGCTGGCTGGTTGCGGGGGGTTTGCGTCGCAAAAGCAGCTCGATCGTGGTGGGACGGCTAATGGCCATCAACAATGGACGCGGCGTGTGAGAGTAACGGATGTAGATACATGTATGTGTCCGATGCGGCGAGTCTGAGGGATCAGGCTTGCTTCGATCAATGTAAGGGGACGACTTCGTAGATCTTGAGGGAAAGAGTACACACAGAATGGTGAAAATGGGAAGAATCAAAGGCTTATTGATTATTATTTTTTTACCCGCTGTCTCTTCTTCTAGGTATCCTTGACCCAAGAACCGTCGTCCATCAAGCCTTCACGCTTCGGCCCTTCTCGCGCCCAAGTCTCGACGACTCCATTCTTTGGGTCCTCATCCGGCAAACCCCTGGACCGTCGTACTTCCAGGACGGCCTCGCGGACGCGTTGTGTGCACTCCATCCTCAACTGTACAGCCTCCGGGTGATTCGCCAGATTCTCGGGTACGAGGCCCAGAATCATCTCGTCCCATCCACCGGGCAGTCCGGCTTCGCGGGCATGTCGGTCCGCCAGATCTCTCCAGCGCTTGCGGAGGTCGCCAAAGACGGCCTCGACGTCCAGCTCGCGCCCGATGGTGAGGCAGATTTTCTTGCCGATTCTCGGTATAAATCGGGGCCAAGATCGACTCTCGTGCATGACCTGGTCGGTCCCCTCGATGAACATGGGCACCACGTCGGGACATTCGGGAGGCTCGAGGATGAGTCGTGCGACTCCCCACTTAAAATAGCGCATCGTCTTGTCGGTGGCTTGGTGGATCATCCCTTCGGGGAAAATGTGTACCCAGCTGTAAGAATTGCTTGCGTAGCGGGAGGGGGCGAGGTACCACCTCACGTCTGAGGGTTGAGACGGGTAGGAGGGGGGAGGAGAGATGTCGGAGAACGGGTCGACGCAATCCCAGGGCCATTGAGGAGGTTTCCAATCCTTGTGAAATCGCGGGTTGCTCAGAGGAGCGAGCGATTGCTTTTGCGCCGAGATCTTGGAGAGGAGCCGCACGGCTTCCGTCATGGTCGCCTGGTAAGGCCCGCCGAAGGGGGAGTGTGCGCCGCGGTGGATGGGGAGGGTTTGTCCCAGCGTGAAGAAGTGCGAGGTGAAGGCATTCTTGAAGCAGATGTCATGACTACCCAAGCTCCAGCGGTGGTTCATGTAGCCGTGGAAGGCCGCGAAGGAGACAGGTAGCGTCCCCCATATTAAAGGTTCGTCGAGGACGGAGATGTGGTTCGAGACAGTCACCAACCCGCGGCGACGCGTTTTGTAGTCGGCACGCGATTTCAAAAGGTCGAGAAAACGCGGGAGACCGTGGACTTCGGTTTTGTTGAGTGCGTAAATAAACAGACGCGAAAGGGCGGCGACGGTGAGGATTGTCTGGTACGAGGCACCGCGCCAGAAGAAGCTCGGGGACTCCAGGTTTTGGTAGAGGTTGAGGTCATCGCGGTTGTGAAAGGGCATTGGTGATGATGCTGGAGAACGGGAGAAGGGCGAAAATAAAGGAGTCCTCCATCGAGCCTTGTTGAGAAAAGGGAGGAGTAAGGAGTCCCGTGGATTTCTATTCTCATCAATCCATGCCTGTGCTGGGGAGGCGTCGTGCCGGAGTTGTTGGCTGTCAGGAGTCAGTCAGCGGGCTTTTTTTTGTTGAAGCTGCGGAGCGAGCAACTGCGGGAACATTTCCGATCCCCCATTCTCCCGCTACTGCGACAACAGCTCAATCCTTTTCAATCTACAAAAGTACGCAGTAGATTCCAATCAAGTCGACTACACCTCTGAGTTGCGTCAGTCATGTTCAGGCCGACTTCCCCTCTGGCAGGAGGCCTTCTATGGTGCGTCTTTGCTGAGATTGAAGCTATCCACTATTCGTCAATGCTGATTCAATCTTGACCTGCAGGAAAATCCCCTGGCGCCTCTCGTCAATGCAAAAAGCGCGTCAACGAAAGCGGTTAAAAATGGTCGATAAAGTCGTCGACACGGTCAGCACAGCGCTGCAAAACAATGGTGGAATGACGGCAAAGGCGGTCGAGCGATGGTACCAGGAGATGCCCCGAGAGGAAGAGATGCTGCCAAAGGACAAATACACAATTTTTGATCGCAAGGAGAAGAAATATAGAAAGGGCATCCACAGTATGTCGGAACACCTCTTTTACGGATGTCCCATTGCTGATGGATTGTTTTAGAGCTACCGAAATGGACGAGAGTCAGTCAGAGACTTAATCCCCCCGGCTTCTAGAGCACCGCAACTCGATCGATATCATTGACGTACGCTACATCTGCTTCACATACTTCAAAGATGCGTTTCGCCCTCCAGCCATCATACGGAAACGAAAATGGTATGGTATTTGCATCCGCAATGGTCTTCACGGAGCCCAAGATATGTCCTACTATCAATTGAGGTTCAGAGGGTTCCACAATCCTGAGCAGCGAACAGCTTGCCTGCCTATAATAGTTGCGATAAAGCGAACGAGAACGCTATGCGGTGCAACCGGTGCTCGAAGCGCTGCCCTACGAAGAGAAGTCGACTGGTCTTTTACCTACCAGAGCCGGTAAAGACTGCTCTATTTTTGTCGACACAGCTTCTTTCAGCGCAGCACGTCTGCCTGGAACAGAATGAGGCCGGCCTAGGAAGAGCGAGCAGAGAAAGAAGTTGAAGTGCATGCAGTGTTGCTTGGGTGGACAGGAACACATTGAGATTACTATGTGCTCCCAGCAGCGCGAGGATACTCTCTCCTGACCCTAGAGGAACATCTCACTGCGAAGATAGGCTTTATTGATCTGTACAACAGCAATTAACCATTGCGATTTTTGGTCTTTTACTCTCCCTCCCTCCTAACTACCCTCGAAATCCAAGACTGTCATAGCCTGCCAAGCCTCCCCTGGGATCTACTAAGCTATCCTAGGAAGTACCAAGAGCGCACGCCCTACCCCTACTTTACGTAGTCTACGAGTAGTCTCCTTAGAAAACTCTCCTAATGCTATAGATAATCTATAGTTTATACCTCCTCTAGCTACTATCTATCAGTTAGCTCGTAGTCTATATTACTATATCTACCTGTGGCCTCTAAGGAGCCCTTCACATCAGCTGTGGACCCTCGACTTAATGGCAACGCGCCTAAGCGACGGATCATACTTATCGACGCGGATAGCGCCCTGTTTCCTTATTTTCTCCGCTTTCTTCGGTTAGGTACTCTTCTAATCTTCCATATTAATAGTAGTTTCGCTGGGCACGGCTACGGCTGCCCAATGGCCGAAAACTGAGGGTAAAGTCAGCATGCCCTTCAGGTTAAACCAGCAGCGTGCTTACAATGACGTATTGTCAACAATCAGAACGGTCCTGACGACCTGCATCAAGGTCTTTGATCTTCTCGATTGTCGCATCATAATGCCTTCTTTTTGGCTGTATTCGCTGCAACGATAGGCAGATTCCTTCGTTACAGGCTGGCTTTGCGGCATGACGAGAGTGAGCGGCGGAGGCGTCAAGATATTGGAGATGACTGAAAGCACAACAGGGAATAGGGTCGCCCAACTTGTCAAACCAACTGAAGCCAGCACCGGAGGGGAAAAGCAACAGTACGTTCCACATGCAACAGGGGCGAGAATGCTACTCGGCCCTCGTACAGAACCAATCTACCTTTGCTGCTCATTCGTCACCTCTCTGCTGTCCAACCTTTCTCTTGGTCGATAGCACCATCCGTGGGTCGTTTTCTCATCTCGTTGGGGGACGGCCTATGTTGTCTGGCTCTCGGCCCAGGATTCTGCTCATGATTGCTAGTTTGAGGCGCAAAAGCATATTTCCTCTGGGCCTCGACGACTGTAGGCGAGCTGGTGGTGCCAGCTTCAGCAGGGTTGGAGTGGCCAGCTAAAGTCCCAAACCGACTGCTATACCGCTTCTCGGTGAGATACCGTAGATTCTCCGCCCCCATGGAACCAACCAACTGTGCTGAACCGTCCTTCGACAGCGCTTTCTTGATATCGAATAGATCCGCTAAAGTAGTCACCACTACTTGATCGCTGTCACCTTCGGCAATCGCCTCCCCAACTCTATATACCCTCTGACGTGAAACCTCGCTAGCTATCTTACAAACATCAAGGCACTGCTTTGAAATATTGATATCTGCCTGTAATTGCGATCTCTCCTTATCCTTTTCAGGGTCGTCGTTTTGGATTAGGAGATTCAGGCGTTTCCGAAGGTAGGTGATGGTCTCTGTGAAGCTATCTCGATTGTCGTCTAGAGCTTGACGTGTTCGCACCTGCGCTTCGAAGGAACTTCCTTCGGCAGCGTTTTGATGCGTCTCGGGAAGTAGAGACGATTCTCGCTCTGACAAGGATTCAATGAAAGACCTCGCGTCTTCGCAAATACGAAGGCATTGTTTGGTAACTTCTCTTTCGTCTTCCAGGTCTATGCTTACACCTGAAGTATTGGTGTTTTCGATATTTAGATGCGTTATCTTCTCATCGATTCGCCGTAGATGGAGCTCAAGATTATATGCTGTGTCCTGTATCATCTCATTGTACTCTTGGAGGACTTGGTGGGAGATCTTGGAGGTATGCATCCTGATATGATGTTAGTAGGGTCCGGCGTAGATAAGGAACTGTAACTAACATGGTAATAGTGCCTAGACCGACAGAGATCGTTGACTTATACCCCGCGATAGTGTCTATAAACTCATTTATATTCCCTTTTTTAAATTCCATCTTTGTCCAATCTCGAAAGCCCGTCTTTGATTTTCCAGAGAAACCTTCCATTGACTGCTCGAACTCGCGGCATACTTGGCTACACCGTTCGATAGGACCTTGAAGTAGTGTGAGTATTGACTGCTCAGCATTGGCCGCTTGTGCCAATGAGTCCAAAATATTGGTGAGATCCCTAAGCTCATCTTGAAGTCTGCGTAAAGTTTTGTCGCGGTCTTTGAAGCGTTTGACGGTTTCGTAGAGCGACTTCGTCGACTGCACAGCGGCCGTAGTAACAGCGAGCAACGAGGCAGTAATACTCAAAGGGTCCGCCATCTTTTGCCGTTGGCCGCGAGATGACTACAAGGAAGGAAAACGCAAAATGTAACTGCGCCTGGCTCATGCGGCTGGCTGCGAGTTCAAATACTGACCTCAGTCAGCATTGCGCCACTTTGATTGGTTGAAGTTCGCGCCGTGGCTGCATCGCTTTGTCAGAGACCTACAAGGAACTACAGTAGGACTTGTAACGGACTTTGCGTGAGATAGGAGAGCTCCGCCTAACCATGTTAGTCCAGTTAAGAACTAGTTTCTCACCAATCAGATGTCATGCCGCCAGGGGGGCGCTTGATCCCGTGAGCACCCGCGTCTTCCCGCAGCTTGCCGGATCGTACATTCTCTGCACGTCGGATCGGGTGATAGAGCTCCCATTGGTCACAAGTCGCCATCAAAGTGTCCTCTCGTATGCAATCCAGTGCACCGCTACCAGATATGTTTATGTTTGATGGCCTCATTAATAAGTACTGTCAGAGAGGATAATGTCGGAAAATCTCCGAGGCGGAATGAGTATCATCACGGTTCGACATTTCTTTCGCTGTCTTTCAAGGGGGGAGATTTGTGTACCAGGAAAGTTTATTTCTAGCTTGCTATCACAGTCACAGATCTAATTGATGTCATCAGAGCCTTGACAGGCAATTGATTGATTGATGAATTGCAGCACGAAGGACTATCTGAAAAGGTTGAGGCCGTTTTGCGCGTGAACAATATCTCAAGTGCCATGTGATCGTGCCAGGAGATTAGTCTCAAGTGGCACTAGTGCCAAGGACCAGGTCCGTGACACTTTTTTTGCCAGTGCTTAATATGGAAAAAGCAATCTCGGATTTTCAAGGTTGGGGTCTAGTGTTGAGCAAACGCCTGCCGGCACATCGATAGAATGAAAGTAATGCATCTCGGAACGAGGTTGCATGCCAGCCTTGATATCATGGCATGCAGAATAGAGCACAGCCCGGCTCTCCCGGTTCTGGTCTGACCAGCTCAGAAGGTAAGTTAAAGATAAGTAGGAGGTAGTCATGTCTAAAAGCGGCGTAGGTCGGGTCAGTGTCGAGGTGCGCTCGGAGTCGATTTGCTATTCGAATGTAGGAAGGCGGCGTATTCCTCTTGGCCCACGTGACATCACGGTCTAGAATGCGTGGCGAGTAAAATGACTGCCAACTCTTCATCCATGACTCCTTACATGACTCTTTCATGACTCCTCACGAACGGGCAAGGTAGGTAATAAGGTACTCTCTCTCTCTCCTGCCTTGTATCCGTGGATTGCACTCACTTGTCAATGACCCTCTGTCACAATTTGGATACATGCCCAAGAAACACCAAAAACGAGTCCTATTCATAAAGCCGCAGTCCAGCAGTCCTCCGACCCTCTCGCTCTCCAAGTCCCCGACTCCCCGACCACAAAATGAAGCCGCTCCGCGCACCGTCAACGATCTGATCCGGGAGTCTCGTCGCCAGCAATTGAAAAATGACACGAGAAACTCTCCCGCTTCTGCCAATGCGCCCTCTGTCCATCCCTCCGTGAGAGCGGTCCTTGACCTGCCCACGCCACCCACACCTGCCCCGCGACCGGGATTAGGCAGTATTCGCGCAGCCGGTGGCGGTCCAGGTCCAAGTCGACTTCGGCGCATCCCTGGGCCCCCTCCACCACAGAGTTGGCTCACAGACAGCGCACATGCGCCCGCCTCTGTCAAGTCGGCCGCTGCTTATGCCAGTGACCCCGACGCTGGAAATGGTCGTATCCAAGTTCGGTCGAGTAATCTGCCGGATGGAGCATTCCCCTCGGCCACCTCCCTCCAGCATCTGGTGCTGAAAAGCATGGCATGCAACTGGGAATGGCATGCAGAGAATGACCGCGACTATTTGGTGTACCTGCCTGTTTCACTCCGGGAAAAGCTGCTGAGCTACATTGCGGTCTACAGCGAGGAGGTCACGAGCAATCCCTTGAGGATGCTGTTTCTACATGAAACGGACAGTGAAGACAGAGCCGAGGTAAGGAGGCTGGACTTGAGTAATGCTTTAGGGGCTTGGACGACTTTGAGACAGCTAGAAAAGGATCTTCTAGTCAAGAATCCAGCTCCTGCGCCGATCGAGAAGGTGACAGACACTCAAGCTGCACCATCGGATCCGACGCCTGAAAGCTGGGACACCGATGCGGACGGCGACGTCGTGGCACACACCCCAACGATCAGCGCACTTCCCAAGGCCGTCCACAACTTCAAGAATCTGAAGCATCTGTCGCTTGCCATCTCTCCTAATAACGTCAAAGCCGCTTCGTGGTCTTCATTACTTTCTCTTGCTGCTGAATTGAGCACTTTGACTTCTCTCTCACTCGCATACTGGCCCCAGCCTACATTCACCCCGAACGCCGCTTCCACACGAGCGCTCATCGACATACCTGGTTCTAGATCGGTTGTATATGGTGGATCGGATATGTATACCTCTTTCGACAATGACTGGCGAGAAGCGGCAGGAATACTCCGGACGCTTAGCCGATCACTATACTGTCTGAAATGGTTGGATCTGACAGGCTGCGGGGATTGGTTTGCTGCGCTGGAATGGGAGCCCTCTACTATCGGTCTCTTCTTTTCGCAGAGAGAAGCTCTGAACCGGGAAAGGATAGTTCCTGAATGGAACGGCGGCTGGCGCGGGCTCGAGAAGCTGGTGCTAGAAGTTGGCTGGAGACCAATTCGCCCTTCCGCGATAGGACACGGCTCTCCTGGCCCAGACGAGGATGTCGAGGCCGAGCGCACGCTTTATCGGTACAAGAAGGAGCGAGAACGCTTCGACAGGATTCGAAACACTGCGCAGTCTGTGGCGCGGTATTTGCGGACTGTCCGCAAGGAGGCCGGAGGGAAGTGGATCGAGGTCGAACTCGGCGAGGATCTGGTAGCATCCCTGGCGCGTGATAAGCGGTTGGCAGAGGCATGAGCAGCCCTCATTGCGGCTCAAATATAAATTATCACTTGGTGAAGAAATTCGTGATTCGTTGCGTTCCTGGCTCAACTTTCTTTGCGGGACTCGTCTTCAGAGTCATGTCCTTGTTACTGGTCGCGCTCCTCGGCTTCTTGCCTGGAGTCGTCTTGGTTGGAGGAGACTTCAGCGACTGAGCAGTGGAGGACAGCTTCATGTGTTTCTTCGTCGGGCTTCCCTGGAGCTCATCATCGTACTCCCTTTTTGTTCCTTGCTTCTCTTCAACCGGAGTACTCGCTGCGGGCGGCGGTGCGTTATTTTCACCCCCAGTATCTTCAGCTGTAGGTTGGGTTGGTTCTGATTTCACCTCGACTTTGTCCTTGGCCTTCTTCGCACTAGCATTGCTGAAGAAATTCGCGATATTCTTCTTGTTCTCCTTGCTGTCAATCGGGACAATGAAGCTGGGCGAATTGTTTCCCACTTTCCCCACGGCCGAATCCACCTGGTAGCACTCGAGTTCGCCCTCGTACGGTTTCAGAATCGCCTGAAGCTCCTTGCTCCACTTGTTCCTTGTCGGGTCCAGCCACATCTTGACCTCTTCTGACCCCGGATCCAGGATGACAGGCATCCGATCATGGAGAAACTGCAACTGCTTGTTCGCGTCCGTCGTGATGATGGTGTAGGTGTACAGCTTCTCCTCTGTATCTTCGTACTTGACGCAATCCCACAGTCCAGCGAACAACATCAGATTGCCATCCTTCCTCTTGACAAAATGCGGGATCCTCTCTTTCCCGCCGGGTCCCTTCTTCAACCACTCGTAGAACCCCTGCGCCACAACCAGGCAGCGCTTCTTCTGTTTCATCGTGTTCCACATGCCCCGATTTTCGATCAGAGAGTCGTCGCGGCAGTTGATGGTGCGCAGCATGGACCCGTAATCTGGTGCGCGTTTGGTCCAGAAGGGAATCAGACCCCATTTCATGGCCTTGAGCTGGTAGTTGAAGTGCTTCTTCGATTGACTGGACGTAGGTGCGCTTGGCTCCTGCGGCTCTTGTTCTTGTTCCTGTGCTTGTCCGTCGTGCTCTACATCGTCGCTGCTTTCCGCTTCGTCACTGTTATCTCTGACGCCTTGGTCGGGAACATCTGCACGGTAGACGAGGCCAAAGGATCCAGGGGGGAAATTGTATGTTTCGCGGGCTTCGTCGTCGTTGGGTGCATCATCAACTGGCATGCCCTGTTGCTGAAGCTGGTAGCGGACAAATGCGGCACGGAGGCCCAATGCGTATCGCCCACACATTTTGGCGCTTCAGAGGGAATCGCCCAGAGCATGTAGGAGAACAGATGTTCAGACGCAGTTTCGCAGATACGATGCGAATACGAATGGTGGCGGCACTTCGCTAGAGCGCGACGCTGGTGACGTCGGCGCGATCGCGAAAACCTGGGGTACAATCTTTCAAAATTTCCGCGTCAAAATGTAAACCGTCAACCAACTTGTTCTGCCGCACCTCCTTGTCTGCCTTCCTCTCTCTCTTTCTCAATACGAACTTCGCTGCCATCAAATATCAAGATGAAATCCAATATGCTCACTAGCCAGATACTTCGCAGCTTCAAACCTGCGCAACCTGCGCCCTCTCGAGCTTTTGCCAGTAGCTTCTCCAGCTTGTCAAAAGCACGGCCTCTCGCTCGGAGCACGCCCTCCCTCAGCGCACGGGTCCAGACGAGAAACGCCAGGAAATATGCTAGGCCTCCGAACCGCCTCGAACAGGCAGTCATCGACGCCCGAGTCAAACACCCTATCCTCTTCCCTCTGATGCTCTTTGGTTCGACCGCATCAGTGATTTTGCTCATTATCATGGCATATGATCAATGGCGGAGGGAGAAGAAAGGCACCTCAGTATATCCTCCGGCCGTCGAAGACCAACTTCGGCTAGCCTTGCACTACACCCACATCTCCCCAGACCCGGAAACTGCGTCAAAATATTTCATGCAAGCCATCAAGAAGGCGGAGGAGGTGGGGATGGACCCCTACAGCAAAGACACGGTCGGTATTCGAGTCCGCTTCTCCCAAATGCTGGAGGAGTTTGGACACGTGAAGGCCGCCATCGAGATCTTGGACGGCATCTCCTCTGACCTGGAGCAAAAGCTGGCTGAACTCGACCAAGCGCAGTCTTCTGTCAAGCCAGATACTCCGTCCAAACTGGATCCCGAGACTGCAGATTTGCGCGCGAATATGATCAAGGGAATCGTTAAGCTGAAAATTAAGATCTCGTCACTGTACGAAAGCGATTATCTCCAGAACCCCACCATGGCCAAACAGGTGCTGTCGGATGCGGTGGGCCTCGTTGTGAAAGAGACCAAGAACCCTCAGGTCAATACCTTCACAGAGGACAACGGGGCGGGCTTGACTACGGGAGAAATTGCCGCAATGCTGTCTCAAATGGGCGATCTGTACGCTACCTCGGGAGAAGAGGAAAACGCCATTCAACTCTACATGCTCACGCTGCAGCCGTTGAGGGCATCGTGCAACGGCACCAGATCTTGCAAAGAAGTTCAGGTCCTCAGCAACATTGCCTCTGCCATGGACATGGCGCTCAAGAAGCCGAACGCGAAAATCAATGGGAAGCCAGCGACCAAAGACACGCTGGCGGCCGGGAGACGGGCTGCCCTGAGATGGGCGGACCAAGCCATCGCAACCGTTGACGCTGTCGGGTCCGAAGAGCGCGATGAGATCTGTACTGCAGCTCTGATTTCGGCGCAGATGACTCGTGCCGATCTGTTGCTGGACAACGGCGACAAGGTCAAGGCCCGCGAGGCATTTCTCAGCCTGCTGCCTATGTTGAGGGAGAGGAACCTCCTTCCTCTTATAGAGACCGCGGAGCAAGGGCTAAAGAGGGCCTCGACTTGCAACGATTGATGAATGGACTTACTGGAAAGAATTCCGATTTGCTTGCTGGAGCTTTTATTTTTGCATTTAGACAGGCGGCGCATCATGTACCTACATGCAGGCGATCGAACCGGACGCGCCGACGAGGCTGACCAATAGGAGGCCTGAGACGGTGAGAAGGGACGAAGATCCGCGACGTTCGCCATTGTTTCGAGACCCGCCGTCGAACTATTTTCAGCACTATGATTTCAGGCTTTTGTCGCTGCGCGCCTATCACCGCCTCATAATGTTTGGGGCTTGACTGTCGGTAGACCAAAAATGGTGCAATCCATCGACCACGTTGAGCTACAGACTTGGTCGAGCCTGCGTCGAACTTCCCCATCTAAGATGGAACAACCTGGAAACAAGGACATTCCGGCCAGCGTCGGAGACCCAGCGATATTGGAAACTGCAGCTTCACATGGCTAATGGACTCATATCTTGAGATAGCGTTAAGGAATCACAACTAAGCGCCGGCCAGATCATTGGCCACGGCCATGATGTTGCCGCAACACAAGACGCCGCTCTTTATCACTACGCCAAATGTGCTTTGGCGATGCTCAAATGATTTCTCTGTTGTGTACGACCTCGGAGAAATTACTCTTTAACTCTATCCTGTGAAATACCCTCTTTGTTCAGCACTTCCCATATGAAATGCGCCAACAATTCGTTGACTGGGCTCGGCGACACTTTTTACAATATCCATTGCTATCTAGATCTCACTCTCAATCCCGATCAACCAAGGATACCTTCCGTGGCGAGCCAAAGGGAAGCATCTGTAAATTGCCAGCGGAGGTCGGCCATGCTTCCGCCCCTTCGACGACATGGAACCCGATCTGGTTGCGCACGAGCTTCCTTTCAGCAACAGTATTGACCTTCTCTGCTCTTATTTCAGTTCTGTTACTCTTGCTTTATTTTGTCAGAAGAGATGACGGTCTAGTCCTTCGGACATCAAATCATTTCACTTGGACGTATGGGCCGACTGCCGTGCTCACAATTGTTGTGGCTTCATGGCGGCAGATCGACTACTACTGCAAAGCTCTTGCGCCCTGGGATGAGCTGCATCGAGGAAACGTTCAACCATTGAAAAGTGTGTTACTCGACTACAAGTCGCCCCTACAAATTATAAGCTTCTACAAAGCGGCCAAAAACAGACATTTTACCATTATCACCACTATACTGGGATTCGTTATTCTTAAGTTGATCACCCTTGCCTCCACCGGCCTTCTCTTTCCGGACTCTATTGCTTTACCAGACAGTCAAGTTGAAATTTCAAGAATCACAAGGCTGGACGGCTCACTCTATGATGCGTCCGCCAATCAAGGGCTTTTCGACCCGTCAATTGCATACACTGCTTTCGCTGCCATGAGCAAGGGATTGCCTTACGCGGATGGAACGACTGCTGAAATGGTTTACGAACAAATTGGGAATTTCAAATTACCGCCACAGAGTCGTGACGACAACGGAACAGTCAGCGCACAAGTTCAGGCTCTTGTCCCAACATACCATTGTGAAAGTGCTCCTGTGGCGGTAATTCTTCAGCCAGCAAATGTAACAGATTTTCATCCTGAAGACACCCTCCAGTTGTTGTTTCCTGAGTGTACTCTGAGAGCCGATGGGAAAGGGACGCCCGTCTACGCTCTCAATCCTCAGACTTTTGTTTGTCCAGAACGTCAGCTGAGTCCTTTAGTACAGCAAATTGATTGCAACACGAATTCTACTCCGGGGAGCCTGGACAATTGGCAACTCCTGACGCTGACGGACTTTCGCTACAATCAAACGGTTGCCAATGCGAGCGACCTGACTCTGGGAGACCCAGTTTCCGCGACTGCTTGGTCTACAGGCGTGGCACAAGTGGTCGGCATCGCTTGTAGGTCGGGGTTTTCGCTCGAAAGGATTCAGTTGTCCTACGATTTGCAGAGTCTTTCTGGTGGAATTCGAGTAAACCGTACAGAGAATGGCAACAACACCACCCTAGGGAACTTTACAGGCTTTGATCTTGGCGTCCTCACCACTTCGGCCCTCAGCGCCAGCGCAGATATGTTTGGTAATCTGGTGGATAACCAAGACGTTCTGGAGTATCCAAATGTGCTTTTCAAAATGATGGCCGCAATAAGTGGCGGCACTTATGAGGATTTGCTGAATGAAACCACGATGATCGCAGCCGCGGAGAAGGTCCTTCAACAAGTGGCCCTTCAGTCGGCAGCTAAGTATATCATCAACGCTGATAACACAACTCTCCCAGGCACCTTCCTCCAAAAGGAAGAGAGACTTCGGGTCAGCGACTTTTCACTCTGGGTCATGTTCTCGGGCTGCGTGGTGATGACTATTTTGACAGTATTCCTCCTTTGGAAGAGACCGAAGAATCTATGTCTCCGCAATCCTGAACCCCCAAACAGGAATGCAGAGCTCCTGGCCCACAGTATCGATTTTAGGGAAGCCCTGAGGAGTATTAGGCTCGGTGGAGATGATGAGCTTAGAGCTAAACTACAAACCTTCAGATTCAGTGCCGAGTGTCGAACGTATGGTGATGATGACCGTGTTGTCTCTATCTCGGTATCACCCTCCGAACATTCTCTGGGTGGCAAAGACGACGACGATATGTCTCGAAATGATGGGACTATGTGGTGGAGTCCTCTGACACTAAAACGTCCGATTCTCGTCATCAGCCTGGTCATGCCACTGGTCGCTATTGGAAGTCTCGAAGCGCTACAGCAAGTCTCAGACAAACGGCACGGATTTGTTGCTGTCCATGAATCAACCGGCACCTCCATTACCATATATACCCGGTTCCTCCCTGCTTTATTGATGTTGCTTGTTGCAACTATGATCAACTCTCTCGATTTCAACATTGCTGTTCTAGCACCGTACAATGCGGTCCATTCCAAAGTTGGCAGTTCAGCATGGAGAAGCACCGCAACTTCAAACCTTGGATATCCACCTCCACTTGCCATCTGGAACTCAATGAGACACCACCAATGGGGACCTTGCCTCTCTGGACTTGCTAGTCTCATCGCAAGTGTTCTTACTATTGTGGTGTCCGGCCTGTATACCGTCGACAAGCTACCTCTGTCTCAAACAATTTCCATGGGTCGTGCAGACACATTTAATACGACATGGATCAACAGTGTCAAGAATGACGGCTCAGCAGCAGTTGTCGCAAGCTTGACGGAAAGTTTGGGCTTGGATTATCCGCAGTTCACATACGCAGAACTAGCCCTACCTTCCCTAAAGTCTCTTATACCTGCGAAAGACGGCGGTGACACCAACGCGACTCTACAGATTCAGGTTCCGGCACTACGCAGCGATCTACAGTGCGTGGAGCTGGCTAGTGATATGGTGAATGTTTCGGCAAGCTATAATTCCAGGATTGACACAGCTCAGGCATCAGTGTCTGCTACTGCGCGCTTGCCTGCAACGTGTCCCTTTGGTGGTTCAAATGGTACGGCGAATTACATTCAATTCAGCAACACCTTTTCGCTGCGCGACAACTCAAGTTTTGTCGGCAAGCTCTTAGATTTGCATGTCGGTCCGTTCGATCCGATACAGGATTCCAGCTTTGGCGAGCTGTCGCCAAACACACAGGCGGATAATCCTCCTGGATGCCCGTCTTTGGCTTTTCTCTATGGATATGCAGATGTCAATGCTCCGTCAAGGACCGTGATGACGACCTTGATGTGCTATCAGTATATCGACCAGCTTTCAACGAACGTGACTTTTGCCTGGCCTGACCTCACCATCCCTACAACTCGACCTCCTGTAGTGAATGAGTCTTCCTCAGAACGGCTCACGAGTGGCGTGAACGGCGAGACCGCGTTCCAGTTCCGCCTGCAGCTGCACATGGACGATGAGTTCTCGTCCTTCAACCAGACGGCGAACGATACCGCCACACTCGCAGAAAGCTCACCGCCGATGGACAACTTTTTTCAAGGCGTCCTCTTTGGCAAGCAGCCGCTGAACATTTCTCTTCTGGCGAGTACTCGGCCGGAAGACATCTCACAGGTCTACGGTGGCATCCGCGGCCTATACCGTCGGTACATGGCGCAGGCTATATCAAGCAATATGCGAGTTCCCATCAATACTCGCGCGGAGGAGGACGACTCTGCAACAACAGGTTCTGTAAACCACACAACAACTGTGACAATGACAGGCACACTCCAGGACGCGACCCTCCAAGCCCGAATCGTGCAATCCCGCGTCGCGAAACTCATCCTCCAGGTCCAGCTGGGTCTCATCTTCGTACTCGCCTCGCTCGCCTGCTACTGCTCCAAACTACATGAGATCGTCCCCTTCAACCCGTGCACCATCGCCGGCGTCGCGGCTCTGTTTGCGTGGAGTAGAATGTGCGACTTTGACGATCCTGTGGGGAGAGATCTCATGATGCGAAACAACAATGGTGGACAGGGACAGGGAATGCGGCGCGACGATGGAGGACAATATAGACATGGATATAGATATAGATTGGGGTGGTGGGACATTGGGCATGGAGTAGGGGGAGAAGCTGCACCTAGGTGGTATGGCATTGATGCGGTGGAGCGAGAGGAGGAGGAAAGTTCGTAGTCTGTGGTTTGGCAGTGTTTGCGTATACCACCAAGGACGAAATTTACATGTATTAACCTGAGAAAAAAGGATTTCTCAGTTTGAGTCCTGGCTCTGACACGGATTCTCAAGGGACCTTGCATTTCAAAGACGTGATTTTTACAATATGCGAGTTGATACATCACAGGCTGGAGGCCCATCGGAAAGCGACACAACGCACTCCAGAATTATCGCACAAGAGCCTGCAACTTTTTCAAACGTATTTTCATCTTGTTCGAATACTTGGTTTTCTTTTCCAATGCGCTTGATATGATTTTGCTCAATGAATTCGCTCTTTCGTTAACGCGTTAAGACGGTCGTCGTCATAAGGTATGACAATGTTGGTCTGATGTTCGATTTTTCTTCTTCTATGCAAAACAAGATCCAAATGCTTCTCTTTTCCTTCGGCCTGTTTTCCAGACAAAGTGCTCTCTATAAGCCTCATAGTGACGATGATGTGTGAACCCTAGTCAAATGTTCCCGTTTCTGTTGATCCCTCCCCCCCCTTTCCAGACCCAGACCCTGCAAACCCCAAAAGAGAAATGCTAGTAGATTCCGTTCGCTTAGGTTGGGGGGGAAAACACCTGTTCTTTGTCTTGCTGCCAAAATATAGTACATAGAAGTATAATATAAATGCCATTTGGGCGGGAGTGAAATGTGTCTGAACACGTTGGGAGGGGGAACCACACACACGCTGGAGTTTGTCAGAAAGGATAAGCGGGTCTCCGTGTCTCCTTTAAGCAGCGTAGGCAGCGCCCACAGGGGATGAGATCGAGGTGCCATCGACCAGGATGCCATCGGAGCACATGAAGTACGCGTACCTCTCGACAGCATCGGTTGAGTCGAGGAATGCCATGGCCTGGGTCAAAAAGTTCGCTACATCACTATCATCGCCACTCGCGCCGAACTCAGTGAGCCAGACCTTGCCGACGCCGTTGGCTTTGGCAGCCGCGATGACGTCGTTGACGTGGCTCTGGAAATAAGCCATGTTGCTGGCCGAGTCGTACCAGTGGAACGCCACAAAGTCGACCTTGCATTCGCCATTGCATGCCTCGAAGAAGGCGTTGAGCCAGTCGATACCCATGAGCGGGCTGGTCCCTGCTCCGTTGGTGATGGCTGGGGAGCCGAGCTGAACTTGACCGGAGAGCGGGTTCATGTTCGCGATGTACAGTTGTGCAGCCGTCGTGGGATCGATGTTTGATTGGGTGTCAAGATCAGGTTCGTTGAAGCCCAAGGCATGCTTGGATCCGCTTGCAATCGCGGACTGAACGGCGCTGGACCAACCCGAGATGGAGTCTTGGCCCCAGAGTAAGGGGACATACTCGGCTCCAGACACAACCTGGCCACCGGGTGAAGCTGCCCAGTTGTACGCCCAGGTCATGCCCTTGCCGGCGAAGGCGTCCGTCAAGGAGGCATCGTTGTAAGAGAGACCCCTCTTGCCAGAGGATCCAGTGCTAGGGGATGAGCTTGGGCTCGAGGCGGGCGACGACGCAGATGAGGCACTGGCGGCGGGGCTGGAAGCAGGAGCCCCGCCAGTCACAGTGGCAAAGGTGGTTGGGATAATCGAAGAGGGGACGCCTTGAGATGCCACAGATGGGAAAGACACGGAAGAGCTACCACCAAAGGATGGCACACCCGTGTTTTCTCCAGGACCGGGGAAGAACTCTCCGGCAGTAGGAGTACCAGCAATGCTAATTGAGCTTGAGGGAGACAGGCCACCAACTGCACTGGAAGTAGCAGATGAAAGGGGGGTCGCGCTAGAGGAGCCAGGGAAAAACTCTCCTGGACCGCCACCAGGGGCTGATGCCGTTGTCCAACTCGAAGAGACAGCACCAACGGGGAAGCCACCGGCACCACTAGTAGTGGTTGTCGAACTTGAGCTTGAGCTTGGGCTTGGGCTCGGGGAACCGCCATAGAAACCGCCAGGACCTTCAGATGGGGCAAATGCTGTAGAGCTTGATGAGGCTCCGAAAAATTGGCCTGCAGCCCCAGAGGGAGCAGATCCTGAAGGGCCTCCAAAGTTCGGGCCCGACTCTCCGGATCCCCCAACGGCAGCAGTTGCTGTGACCGTGACGTACTGAACAGATGTAGCGGTGATGGTGGAAGTCAAGACATAGCACGATGACAAGACAGCATCGGTTGGAGCGACGTCTGTATCTGGAGAGGCAGTGTTAGATGCGACTGCCGCAACTTCAGGTGCGCTCGAGAAACCTGTAGCTGTATCGGGAGAAGACGACTCGAGCGGGATGGGCTGGACGGTGACAGTCTTGACAGCTGTAGCCACGACAGGAGAGGACTCCACCGACGACGAGGCACCGGAGTCTGAGCCCTTGGTGTGCGCCGTGCCATTCATGGGAAATACGCCACCAGTTGGCATAGCCCAGCCACCCCCAGTGCCACTGCCAGTACCATAGTGGAATCGTTCGTGTCGTTTAGGATGAGCCAAGACAGCTGAGGCGAACAACGCCACAGACAAGAATTTGGCAACCATATTGGATCAGATGAGTAAGCTTGAGACGGAGATAGCGTTGGCTAGGTAGTCTTGGGAAAAGGGACAGGAGGTATAGTATATGGATTGTTTGCGCGACCCGCCTGGGGAATTCAATAGCCGATTCAATCAATGAAGGACCTGGTTGGGAGAAAGAGTGACCACGAGCGTAGCTCTGCCGCTGGCGAATGATAGAACGAAGGACTAGCCTTGCTGAATGAAAGACGAAGTGCAGTGTGTCGCACAAAACGTGTCAGGAGCCTGCAAAGACGAGGGAAGATAGCTGGGGAGAGAAGAGAAGGAAGGAGATGCAAATGAAACGACAAGAACCTCAGAGTTATACCTCTGCCAGCAGAGGGGTGGATGGAGAACATGGCGAGGGGGTTGAGGGACAATTGTGAACAGGACAGCAAAATGGGTTGGCACGTTTCATCGTGGTCTTTCGTGTGACGGTGACCCTGGTAGACGGTTGACCGCATTTTCCCCGCTGCGTGTAAGAGACAGGTCTTTTCAAGATCTCTTTGCCGGGAAAGGGGACAAGAAGGGGCAGAAATAACCTGTATCAGAAGAGCAGTGACCGTGGGCCGGGTCATCGTAACGGCCCTTGGTGCTGGCATGGGAGCCCCAGGATGGGAGGCTGGGACCAAGAAAAGGGGAAAGCTGCAGAACGGGCGAGGTCAGTTGGTGACGAGGCTACTGTCGCAGGACCTGGTCGTTCCGAAGCCAGTCAGCGACCAGATTGGTAAAGATCTGGCCTGAAACCGCCAATTGGGGCGGCAATGCAGGGGAACACCCACAAAAGAGCGGCCCAGCAAAATGGGCCAGCCGGCTAGGCTATCGAGAAACCCGATAAGCGTTAGCCGGGCTCATAACCACGCTATTTGCTGTCAGGTACCGGCCACGGCGGCCAGCCACGCAACGATCCTTGCTTGGAGCCTTGCAGAAACGGACGCTAAAGTCCTGACCCCCCATGATGGCGGACCTCAACGACATCCTGATCGGAGAGCGGGAGAGGACCAAAGGCAAATATCGATGCCAGCTGATGAGTTTCCGTGCAACAATGATGAGAAGAGGGGAAGTAGTACTGCATTGTAGTACATGGGACTGGATAGTGGAATTGAGGAAGAGGAGGAATTTCAGAGTTCTGAGAGTGTGCGCACAGAGACTGTTTGGGTTGTGGACTTGGCACCGACTCGTGATCTGGCCCATCGATAGCAGGGGACACCCAAGGGGAGGTGCTCGGTGCCTAGTACGGAGAACGTCCTTACGTGGAATAGTCTGTCCGTAGCTGCCTGGGACCTTGCTACGAGGCCCTCGTACCCAGTAGCACAGGTGCTACCTAGGTACCTACAAATATCCATTCCCATATACTAGGGTCGAAGGACTCTACGGGACCACGACCAGACTCCATCATCCTCGCCATTTCCACCGATTCACTTCCAGCCACCATCTACCCTCTGGGTGCCCTCCGGAAGTCCGCGCAGTGTCAACATGGGGAATCAGAGAAGAAAAAACCATCTCCGTCCCCGCTCTCGGATCCTGTCTAATCAAATTCGCCTCTGCAATCTGGCAACTGCTTCAGACATCGTCCATGTTGTGCGTACGGAGGAGTTGTACTATGTACCCTAATTCTTTTCCAGCATTGAGATTGCCAATTCGTTTCGACTACGCACCACGCGTTCAAATGTCGTGCAGAAGCGAAACTTTATGGGATTCGGTAACGAGATAGCACGTCCAAATTCTTCCGACTTCAAGGCTTCTTCTCACGCCCTTGAAGCACTGCCATCACGTCGCTCACATTGTCTTTATCGCCCTTGCGTTTTTTCGGGCCACGCTTCCGTCCACTTTTCTTCCCTGGGCCTTCACCCTCGGCCCACCCAGCTTCGTCCTCATCATCCTCGTCGGCAATTCGACTTTCACCAAATCCTAGATCCAAATCGGCCGCATCTGCCCGATCCCGTTCTCTCAGACGCGCCAGCAACTGCTGCTGCCTTGCGGCTTGATCAGGATCTGACTCCACAGCTGGATCCCCACCTGTCTCTTCGTTTCTTCGTAAGCCCGCGGCCCGCTTAAGAGCGGAAAGGAGAGTGGGATCTTTTAAAATCGGATTGGTGCGATCCTTGGCTCCCTCTTCTTGATTGTTTGTCGCAAAGTAATTTCGTGGCTTGTTGCCCGTTGATGCAGCGGTCTTCGGAGTGGCGTCCGCCCTTGCTGCTGTCTCCTTCACGTCGGCTTCATCTTCCGAATCGCTGTTGATATTGGCGAGCGGATTGTAATCATCCACTCCCTGGAAGATATCGTCATCATCCTCCCCGGCCGCTTGCTGATCCAAAAGGGCTTGTTGCTTCGCTCGAAGTTCAGCTGGCACTTCCATCCCAAGAGGTTGGTTTTGATCGCCTTTGGGGACATCCTCTTCCTTGTCGAGCCATCGAGTCTTCCTCTTCGTCGTTCCATCCTTATTGCTGATGAGGAGTACCTCTCGGCGCCGTCCGTTGATGATCTCGACGAATTTCTTCTTGTTTGGCTTTTCCGAGGTCACCTTCTTGAAGCGTGCTCCGAGTGTTGGCTCTGGATGCAATGGTTCTGATACTCCACTTCGGCTCTCCTTTAACCGCCGCAAGATCGCATCTCGTGTCATGGGTTCTTGAAGATCCCCAGAACTTTCATCTTGTGCTTTCCTCGAGGCCTGCTTCTCTGCCTTCACCTCCTTCTGGAGCGCTTCCTCCAGCTCGTCATCGACGTCCAATTGAGCAGACTCCCCCTTCTCCGCTTGCGGAGCGCTCTGGACATCTTCACCTCGTCGCACCCTCTCCAGCAGTTTCCAGTCCAAGCCTTTCACTAGATGTGTACTACTAAGATCGCCACCAATCCCAATCTCGGTTTTCAGCTTTTCAAAGGTAGCTTCATCAATCTGTTGTAGTTTGTACATCTCTTCCAGTGCTTTGACTCGTTTCTCCTTGTCATCCGGCGCCGCAAAACCCTCTTCGTCTACCTGCCGAGCCAGGGTGCGGTCCTGGTAGCCAGAAGCGAGCTTGCTGCCTTTCGGGGCGCTTGACTTGAATTTCTTCGGGGGAGGTTGCCCATCGTGTTCTTTTCGGTATTCTGCAACTTGCTGCGTGAATACTTTAGCGGCGTTAAATCCCGCTACAGAGCGAGGCGTCATGGGAATCGATGCGCGAGTTCTGGAGCCAAGTGCGGGCTTTTTGAAGGCTTGCGGGGACGCCCCGCTGCTTGACGAGTTTGCATTTTGGTTAGTTTGAATCAAGTTTCGAAACTGAGAATTGTCCATTGAAAGCTGCGATGGCGCAGAGGCCCTCGAAAACTCCTCGATCCGATAGCAAGGAAAGAAGACTGCTAAAGAAAGTTGCGGGCAGAATTGGGGTCTAGAATAATTCAGTGTCGGAGATTTTGTCATAAGGCTCCGCTCGTTCCCCAAATTCACTCCACCAATTCATTTCTCGCCAACATCTTTTGAAGTACCAAGCAGACATCTAAAGATTAGGATGGGGAAAAAACGCAAGAATGCCGTGCCTGTTGAGCATGACTACGAACCTCCCCCAAAGAAGCGGCCCTTGACGACACCTTTGCCCGAAGGCGTCCATCATTACGAGAGTATTGAGGAGGTTCCCTGGGACATCCAGAAGTAATGAATCCTAAGATCATTTTTCCATTTTCCTACCGAGACTGACCTGATTCGCCTCTGCAGGTATTGGCATCAGGGCTACTCAATCTTCTCGAAATATGACGACGGTATCTGGATGACTGATGGTTCATGGTATGAGGTCACCCACGAGTCGGTCGCGAAGTAAGTCCTGCGTCTCTCTTTCTCTGTACGAGCGTTGTCTGACACATACTAGTACCATTGCACAACACATGGCAGAAGCTGTTCCAGAGGGCAAGTCAATCATCTTCGATGTCATGTGTGGCGTTGGGGGAAACACTATCGCATTTGCGCTCTCCGGGAAATGGAAACGGGTCTATGCGATTGAGAAGGATGCCGCTACTCTGGCCTGTGCCAAACACAATGCCGAAATCTACGGCGTGGCTGATCGGATCACCTGGTTCCAGGGAGATTGCTTCGAGATTCTAGGCCTGGATGAGACCAAGAAGGAAAATACGGTAGAGGCGCTTAAAACGATTGCCAGCACTTATGGTGTTATTTTCGCCAGTCCCCCGTGGGGAGGTACGTATTGCAATACCAGGCAAACAAATTGACTCTCACACTCGACACAGGACCTGGATACCGAGAAGCTGAAGTCTTCGATCTCGAGGCAATGCAGCCGTACCCTTTCAGCCATCTCTACGAATCCTTCAAGAAGCTGACTCCTAACGTGGTGCTGTACCTGCCGAGAACTAGCGACCTGCGGCAAATTGCTAAAGTAGTTGGGGAGGACAAGAGGACTCAAATTGTGCATTACTGCACCAAAGGCAGCAGCCGGGCCTTGTGTGCATACCTGGGAGACTGGGCATCGCTGAAGTTGTGAGACTTGTGATTCGAGTTGGCCCAGACTGTTGCATAATGTCACCTTGCGCGTATTGACGCTATGATACCATGAATTAGCGAACTAATCGAACTTTTACTCTGACTGCGATCTTCGTGTGACAGGTGATGGAGTAGGACTTGCGTGACCTCTCGCAAGGCTGTAGGCGGCTGCACGAGGCTGCACAAGGCTGACAACAGCGTGTCAGGCTGCCGCCAAGTCACGCTAAACACGAGTCAGCCGATCCGCCTGCTGCTCCCTTTCGGTGCCTTTCCCCAACTTCCCACTTGTCGTGTCCTTGCGCCTCTCCATTTTCCTTACAAGATCTTCTACTCATCGCGACGGAGGGTTCTGGCATCCATATCGACTCGAAACCTCAATACCTGAAGAGTCGCAATGACAATCATCGTTACATGAGGCGATGCGAGATTTTGGTAGCAGAGGAAACACTGCTGCGGGGTCGGCGCAGTCTCATTCAAACATCACTCCCTCTTGCAACCCGGCACGATGGCGACCGACGTCTACCAGCAGGCTAATGACCTCGACGGTCTCTTCGACGATGTCGACGATGAGATGGCCGATTCAACAGCCAATACCCCCTTTGACCAGAGTTTCAACGTGCCAGGGGATACAAATGATGAACTCAGTGCGCTGTTGAATGAAGGCGGTGGCGAGGGCTTCAACTTGGATGAGTTGAATGAAAGAGAACTGGAGCAGGGTGAGAAGGCAGAGGATGCGGTTGATTACGAAGACATTGGCGACGATGATTCGTTACCTGAGGAAGAGCCGATGCAACTTGAGATAACAACGGACATGCTACCCGGGATCGAAGAAAACGCTTTGGATGGCCTCGATGATGACGACCTCTTCGGCCCTTCCAGTCCCATACTAGTCAATGCCCCGCCGCCGGTCACTACTCCTTTGAAGTCAGACGAGAAACCTGCGAAGGATGCCGATCAAGAGTCTGACCTTGCCTCCGAGCATGGCGACGAAACAACGCAAGACCTATCTATGCTCGAGGCCGAGCTGGATGAGGTTGAAGATGCAGAGTATCGTATACAGCTGGCACTTTTCGCGCAATCTGGGAAAGGCTACATTCCTAAAACGGAGCAGGAGAACATCGAAGAATGGTTGAAGGTCGAGTTCCCGAAGTTCAAGCGTGACGAGGCACCATATTTCAATGAGCTCTTCCCTCCCCGACCGCACAAATGGCAGGGGAAAACACCGTTGAAGCCTCCGAAGCAAGTCCGCCCGACCAAAGTCAACTTGGAAATCGAGCAAGACCAAAGAGTAGCATTCAATTCAGTGGTCCCGATCAACACGCAAGAGGTTGGCGCTGATTTTGTGAAGATTCGAGAAACTGCAGTACTTGCAGAGGTTGCAGAGTCTTCAGAAGAATCCGATGCTGAGGAGCCTCTCCCTGGCGGTCTCACGATGCGTGACCTGGAATTCATGTGCACTGACTTCGATACATTGTCGCACCTGGCACCTTCGGATGAGGAGTTCGTTGAGATCAACCCCCGAATCGTTGACAGCGACGAAGAGATGTTCGGTTTCGATGAGCTACATGATGTAGAGAAGCCCCGCAAGAAGCGCCGCCTTGGTTTGGATCCTCAGGATATTGTCAAAATCCGCGAGCTCGACGTACCCTTCATGGACGATCCCGAGAGGATGACTGCAAGACTTGCCACCAAGGTCGTACTGGACTTGAACGACACCGATCTACTGGTTGAAGAGGTCGATCCAGAGGCTGTCAGAGCAAAGATACGTCCTGGCGAGAAGCGATCTGCTGTCAAGACGCTCAAGGAACGCCTCCAACATCGCTTCAAAACTTCGAATGATGCTGAATATGACCTTCTTAAGCAGAACCACAGGCACAAAGTCCGAGGCCAACTCACCAATTTGACCATCGAGCATTCACTGCCTGCTATCCGTTTGCAATACCCATACTATCAGGTCCAGTTGTCCCTCCAGGAGTTGCGTAACTTCCACCGAAAGCGAATGCACTTCAGACACCCTATCGTGTTTCGGCAACCTGCAAAGGTCAAGAGAAAGCATCAAAAGCACCGACCCGCGTTGGAGCTGTATCCCACCACGAAAGAAATTTCGATGGCCGATAATTCTTCGATACTTCTCCTCGAATATTCCGAAGAACATCCGCTGATGCTTTCCCAGACAGGCATGGGTAACAAGATCATCAACTACTATCGCAAGAAAAGCAATGAGGACAATTTTAGACCCAAATATGACATTGGTGAGACCTCGCTGTTGCTGCCGGAGGACAAATCTCCCTTCTATATCTTCGGTCAAATCGATTCGGGCGAAACTATGACAGCCCTTTACAACTCTATGTACAGAGCTCCTATCTTCTCCCAAGATGTCAATTCCCACGATTTCTTGGTCATCCGAGAGACGACGGGAGTGCACGGGCAAAGTCACTACTTGAGGAACCTCGAAAACGTCTTCGTGGTTGGACAGGAACTGCCTTCGGTTACCGTCCCAGGAACACATTCACGCATGGTCACAACTGCGTCCAAGAACCGTCTGAAAGCCATATCATATCGCATCGCTCGCAAAAAGAGAACCAACCGCATCCATGTCGAAGATATTACGAGGCATTTTCCTGGTACGACGGACATGCAGAACCGACAGAAGATGAAAGAGTTCATGGTTTTCAACAAAGAACACAAGGAATGGGAAATGAGGCCGGGTGACATGGTCCCCAGCGAAGAGCAAATCCAAAAGTTGATTCGGCCGGAAGATATCTGTTTATTGGAGTCAATGCAAGTCGGTGCACAGTATCTTCAGGACGCTGGGTATGCGGACAATGATGAGGAAGATGACACAAAAGAGAATGAGGCCGATAGTATCGAACAGCAACTTGCGCCGTGGAGAACCACCAAGAATTTCCTGCAGGCCGCCCAAGGCAAGGCTATGCTCAAGTTGTACGGTGAGGGTGATCCATCAGGCCGCGGCGAGGCATTTTCGTTCGTCAAGACAAGTATGAAGGGTGGATTTCGACCGATTGGTGGTTCTGCCATGGATGCAATTGCTCTGAAAAAAGAACTCGGTGGTCACAGCTACAATGTCGCCCGACAGCAAAAATCCTACGAAGAATCCATTCGTGGTATCTGGGACAAGCAGAAGGCTAGTCTCGGGTCGAAGATTGAACCTTCGGATCTCGACATGGAAGGGGACGTGGACGCACAAGAAGATAAATACCCGGACAGTCGATCGAACATTCGAGCAACGCCAATGTCTGGAACACAGACACCTTCGATTTCGAGGCGTCGGGATGACGAGACGGCCACCTCATTCAGTAGACGCAGTGTCGGCAGTCAGACTCAGAAAGCGTTACGGATCGTGCGCCGAATCAAGACCAAAGACGGTGAAATCATCGAGCAAGAGCACATTGAAACTGACCCGGCGGTGATCAAACGATATATGAAGATCAAGGAAGCGGAAGAGATGCAGACTACAAGGTTTGTAGCCAGCCACACATTTGTCTTCTTGTCTCTTGCTTACCAGCGTAAAGTCTCAGTGAACTCGAACCCACCGGTGATCCAGAGCAGGATGCGCGGCGGAAGAAACGGTCAGCAAATCCCTCCTGTCAAACGTGTCAGAGGTCCGGCACTGCTAACAAATCCGAACAGACTCGAAGAGGCTCTCGCGCAACTCGAAAAGAACAAGGCTCGCAGGCAGAAGCGCAACAAGAACAAAGAAGCCCTCCAAGCCGCTACCTCTCCCGGCGGTACAGCCATGTCTCCGGACGGGGAGGGAGCTGGCGGCGGCAGCAGGAATGCGCAGCCCACGCAGAGGAAGTGTGCAAACTGTGGCCAGGTGGGCCACATCAAGACCAACAAAAAGTCAGTCACCAACGCTAAGTGTAAACATTGCAATCTCCCCATTGATCGCAAGGTTGATTCGCTGTGGATGAGTGCACCGAACTTCTCGGGTTGAATGCATTGAGAAGATCGTCTTTCTCTTTTCTCATCGATTTGAGAATCGCGGCTTCGAAAAGCTTTCAATCTGAAAAGGTGACCCGACTTAACTCATTACATATTCGTCCGACTCGAGGACATTGCGCGGCGACTCAACGCTCTCGCATATGAGGCCGAAATCTCCATGCCTCGCTATGCGGAAGCAAGTCGTACACGATCCCAGCACCACCGAAATCTATCTACGCGATCTGGAGCTTCCCCCGTGCTGTGCTCGACCCTTCTTTCTTCTGTCATCTCCCGGACATTGTTCCATTGCTGACATTATTTCACTGTCAAGATTGTGTCCCCTGCTCAACGGCACCATCAAGCAGGAAGACGGCTTCAACAATGCTGCCTTCATGGGAGCGCCACCTACGATGTCTTAAGCGGCCCCTCGATCCACACGCTAATGGTCCGATCGTGCTACTCCGTCGACAGGAGAGTTGAGCCCAGAATATTCGAAACGGGGCGAGGCTTATCCCTTGCAGCATACCACCATCATCATGTGGGCCGAGTGGCTTTCGCCCATGATGTTACTTGGCGAGATGGTCAGCGGTGTGCAAGGCGCGAGTTAAGGGACATCATTGCATCTATATAGAATCTTTCATTCATTGCATAGCGTCGGATACAACACATCGGCTGATGTGGTCGTGTACAAAAGCATGGGACATGGTGAATAGCATCGCCTCGCTCGATAATCTCTTGCATGTACCAATATGAAACAAAGTGTCTCGAAGCTTGATCAAGATACTAGGTACAGACCTCGGCGGTATACCCTTTCCTCTGTCTCGTCCCACCTCGTACTACTGATATCTCCTGATTATCCGGAGAACTTCGCCTCATCACGTGGCCGGCCTTGCGGCATGAGTAACCGGTCCCGTGACGGACTTTTATCGGGACGCTTTTTGATGCTATCAATGTGCCTTCTGACCGCCAGTGAATACAGGCTTTGCTCGAAACGGGCATAATAACCTTTCGACTTGCCTCTTTGGTGTCCCACAAATCTTTTCATAAACTCGACCGCTCCGTCAATGTGATCAGCCCTTGGTGCAGTGAGAAAGAGCCCAGACGAAGTATTCCCACGGTCAAGATGGCCTCTGGCAAACAGTCATACCTCATCGTCGGAGCCGGCGTGTTCGGGGTATCCACTGCCTATCACCTAATCAAGAAGTATCCCGACGCCTCAGTGACTCTGGTTGACCGAGATGCCTTTGACGCAGAGAGTCGGGTGGCTGCCTCGTGGGACTGGAACAAGGTGGTGCGCGCCGACTACGACGATATAGTCTACTGCCAACTGGCTCTTGAGGCACAAGACATCTTCGAGACGGATCCGCTGTGGCAGCCGTACTTCCACAAAACCGGTATCTTCTGGACGTGTCGCAGCAACTACGCACAGGAAGTCATCGACAACTACAAGAAACTTGGCCGGACGGCGGATCTTCGAGCGGTGTCCGTCGACGAGGCCCGCAAGCTGTATGGCGGACTGTTCGAGGACGCGGATTACAATGGAGTCCAGGAGGTGCTGGTCAACAGAACCAGTGGCTGGGCTGCTGCGGGAGATGCGCTGCGGGCTGTTACCCGCAAAGCCATCGAACTCGGTGTGAAGTATGTGACGGCCGAAGTGGCGACACTGCAACTAGACTCTCGCGGGAGGTGTTATGGAGTCAAGACAAAGAAAGGAGAATCTTTGACGGCTTCGCATATTATCCTTTGCACGGGTGCATATACCCCCAAACTGCTGGAGCTCAGCGCTGCAACCACTGGTCTGAAGGATCTTCGAACCGAAGGCAGAATTGTAGCGGGCGGCATCACGACGGGAATGACGAAACTCGACGACCAGTCATACAAAAGATTCGCTGCTATGCCTGTGGGTGTCCAGGGGTACACTGCACAGATAGGTAATAGGACTGCCTGACCAGTCCCATTCTGTGCGATTTACTAACTTATTGAGACAGGTCCGTTTATTGGCAGCCTTCCCCCAACCAAGGACAGAGAAATCAAGTGGTGGGGACAGACGATATTCAAAAACACTCATGAAGTGCTACCCGGGCGCCATCTTTCAGCGCCACCTGCAGCCCCAGACTACGCTCAATGGAACGTATCCAAAAAACTCAAGGAGGACATCGACTATGCGAACAAGGTGTTTTACGGCAAGAACGGCGCGAGCTGGACGATGGAGAAGCATCGGATCTGCTGGTATGACGTTCCATCTCTGCAAATTTTCCCTCTTTTTCTCTGGAAGACAAAAGAACATTGTGAAAACTAACCTTTGCACGTGAAATGAAAAAAGGGATGCCTTCACCACAAGCTCCGACTTCATCATCTCGCCACACCCGGCCGCCCAGGGCCTGTACCTCGCCACGTGCGGCTCCTTTCACGGGTACAAGTTCTTCCCCGTGCTCGGCAAGTACGTACTGCAGATGCTCGAAGGTTCGCTGGAGCCGAAACTGGTCGAGAAATGGGCCTGGGACCGTGAGCGGCCGGATCCGTCACTCAACCCGGACTGGCCGAGGTGGGAGATGAGAGATTTCGTGGACGCGGTCCGGACTTCGAAGCTATAGTTTTGGGAAATCATGTGGCGCTCGACGAGTGCTTGAAGGTTGTAATAGAAAGGAATGGGTTTGGATGCCACGTAAAGAAAAGAAAAGAAAAGAAAAGAATTCTCGTATTTATGCATGCATGCAAGAGCCTGGTAGCTTGGTACCTATTCCGTTTCGTCATTCCCTGGCCGTTCACGCCATCGAAATACATTGGAAACATCAACGTAGCTTGTGCACAGTGTAGTATCTGGCGTATTTATTATCGGTCACAGACAGCCCTTGACTCCATCTGGCTTTTCGCCGAACGAGGAGCCGCAGCTTTGTTCCTGGCGCAACCAGTCAGTTTGCTCCGTCTCTCCAGCAGCTGCCGAATGAACTGTATGAACTATCCAGGACTCGACATTGACGTCTCGCTGATGACGATTATACGAGTACCATATGCGCAAGGCTTCTCTATCAGACATGTGGACGTTACACAATAGCGTTGGGCTCGCCATCAGTCCAAGCCCGTAGCCACGTTTACGAGCAGATAGCTCTTACCGTCATTCAACAAAGTGCGCAAGCCGGGGCCACGGAGGGTCGCTGTGAATCGAATAGTGAGGGAGTGGTTGGTCTGGGATTGTGAGATGAATGTTGTCCATACAATAACAAGCGCTGGGGACGTCCCCTTTTTCACAGCCTCGCAACCCCTGCTGTAGACATCCATGATGTAAAGCAACCCTCTTCTAACTCGTTAGGGATCCAAGCCTCAAACTTCAGGGGTCTCAGGGTTTAATAGAAAGCATCACATGACACCACGTGAACGGTCAAAGACGCCAAGACTTTGAAATGACGCGGAGCGGTTTCTTGGCTTTATAAAGTCAGACATCGTCCCAACAATCGCTTCAATTCTATTCATGTCGCCCAATTGAGTCCCGCTTCCAATCGGAGTACAGCACCCAAGTAGTTTGATTTTACTACCAACACCACCATCGCCACCACCACCACCACTATTCTCAACGAGAGATGGCGCTTATCCAGCGAGGTCCTTCTCATGAGAGTGACGCTTACTGTACAATGCGGAATAGGTGTTGGTACCCGACTCCCGCACCTCCGAAACTCAGTCATCATGATTTCCTCCAGATCGTGGACCCTTGCAGCCCACGGTCTAGAGACGAAATGCCGCCTTGGACGTCTGGATTCGAAAACCCACCATGGTTAGAAGATCAGCGGCTTTATGACGAAGCCAATGAGTCGAAGGTAAGTCATGGAGGTCATCAGCCCGAGACCGATCACAATGTTGTAACCTCGACAACTTTCGGCATGCGTGGTCAGGAGCATCGATAAGGACGGGGCTTGAATGACTGAGGATCTAGCCCTTCGGTGAGCACATGCTTCTTTATCTGCCAATGATTCTCCCCTGCTGCCGCCAGCGGTTGCCCTTCCTGTTTGATATCCCAGCCGGGCCCGAATTCCGATCATGTGACCGGAATACAGCCTTGACCCCTTTTGGTTTCGAAATCCTGAGCAGTCTAACGGATCTGGTCGAGACAAACCGACCGTCCGTGTCCGATAAGGACATCAGGGAGGCGCCTTGAGGAGGGAGGGATATCTGGATTTAAGCTTCCACATAATCATCGTTGGATCTGGTCCTCTATCCTCACCGTTACCTATCTTTTTGATCTTACTGTCTTTAAACAACACCATGGCGCAATCGTTCTTGAAAAACTACTTGGGCTTTGGAAAGTCGGCGCCAGCGGATGACACTGTCCCTATCAGGGCATTGCCGGCCTCATGGTACACCTCCCAGGAAATGTACGAGCTGGAAAGACGAGCGATCTTCTCTAAAAAATGGCTCCTGATCACCCACAAACTGAGACTGGCCAACCCAGGGGACTGGCTACGATATGACGTGGCTGGCTTCCAGTTCATTCTGTGTCAAGATCGCGACGGGAACATCAATGGCTTCCACAATGTCTGCAGGCACCGTGCTTTCCCAATTGTGACCGAGGAGAAAGGTCACAACAACATCTTTGCTTGCAAATACCACGGCTGGTCGTACGGCCTCAATGGCAAGCTCGCAAAAGCACCAGACTATCAAGACCTACCCGGGTTCGACAAGTCAAAGAACGGTCTTCTGCCCATCCATATCCATATCGACCACAATGGATTTATTTGGGTTAACCTGGATGGTGGTGCGAAGCCCGAAATCGCCTGGAACGATGATTTCGAAGGAGTCGACAAGCAAGCCAGGTTCGAACACTATAACTTTGATGAATACCAATTTGACCACAGCTGGGAGATGGAGGGTGACTATAACTGGAAAATCCTGGCCGACAATTACAACGAGTGCTACCACTGCAAGACCACGCATCCGGATATTCCCACCATCGCGGATCTCAGCTCCTACGGCGTCGAGACAAAGGGCGGCCAAATTATCCATTACGGCAACCCAACGCCAGAACAGATTGCTCGTGGTCTCAGGGTGGCTGCCACCTACTTTTTCCCCAATGCATCCTTGAACGTTTCGTGAGTCACTGGTTGCCGAGTCACTTGCCACATTGCTAACTCTTTCCAAGGCCGCACTTTTTCTTCATCCAGAGATTCGTGCCCAGTGGTCCGGTCAAGTCAACCATGAAATATGAGGTCTACAGAAACAAGAACGCTAGTGATGAGGATTTTGAATTGATTAACCAAATCTACAAGAGGATCATGTCCGAAGACAAGTACCTCTGCGTCAACACTCAGAAGAACCTCAACGCGGGGGTCTTTGTCAATGGCGAGTTGCACCCACGGATGGAAAAGGGCCCTCTTTTCTTCCAGAAAACAGTACGCGACCTGGTGCAAGCCCACCACAAGCGAGAGACGGATGCACACGAGGAGATCTGGCCGGCTCGACAGACTCTGCCGAAAGCCGACTTGAACAGCCAGAAGGACGTGGCTTTCTGCTCTGCGGTGGATTGTTGCAGGATCAATAAGGAGCCCATTGCTGTGTAGCGATTATCCTAGGCGATGTTCCCAGTTTGATAGCATTTTTTGGTGTAGCGTCGTTTCTGTGATAGACTTGACCATCTCTGGTGTTGGAAATGTCGTGGTCTACAATGTCCCTTAATCAATCCATGTTCATCCGACGTCCGCTGGTGCTTTCACGAGCACTTAATGATTGGTCGGGTATGATCCCTGAATCATCTCCGTACATGTCCTGCTCGAGGCTGCATTCCCGGCCAATCGTTTAAAGCATTTAGTTGATGATTCCCGCGGGGCTTGTGGCGAGGTGGCGAAGTATTTATTAGCGGAGCGAAATCCCCCTTTGGTGCCTCTGCTCGTAACTTTAAGTCCTTAACGTACATATCCGCTACGTCAACAAATCCCCCCAGATAAGGCTTGTTGTCCCTTCTGTCTCACTGTCCAAATGGCAACATCCCCCATATCCATGCATTCATCCTCGGTTTCCAGTCCCCCAGACCTTTAGGGTCAGTGAGGGTCCTCTAGTCGAGATCCACCATGAGCCCGATGGACGAGAGCGCCAAGTTTGATGCCAGAAGACGGTCACATCACGCTTGCCTCACTTGCAGGTCTGTCACTCGCGCCGTGTTGTTGTTTGATGTCCAGTGTGCCAATGACATTATAGGAGGAAGAAGACTCGCTGTCCGGGAGAGAAGCCTGCCTGCTCCAGCTGCGTCCGCCTGAAGCAGCCATGCTCTTATGCCCCTGTGGTCAGATCCACACGAAACGGCCGATCGGTATATTTCTTTAACTTTCTTTCCAATGGCCCACAGGAATTAACACGTCTATAGGAGGAGAGGCTGGCACACCTGGAAGAGAAATTAGATCTCTTATTAAGTGGTGGCCTGTACGAACAGCCCGCACTCGTCCTCCCCTCCGCTTTTCTGACCAGATGATGCAGGCCGACTCATGCCACGCGTCAAGAGCAGGCACTCGAAGAAACTGCCGATTACTCAGAGAAGTCGTACTCAGTAACTCCTCCAGCACGCGAACCCAGCTATTCTACTAGCCATCCTTCTTCGACCCTCGAATTCGACACCGAAAATGCGAATTTACGCCCGCGCCCATCCGACATTGCCGTTGGGCTCGACCTGTACTTCAAGTATTGCCACAGGCAACCGATCTGGTGCTTCGGGCGTGACGAAGTCGGCGATCATGGCTCTCTACCCGAAGAACTTGCTTGCAGTATCCTCGCGCTGACTTCCCGCTTTCCTCCAAAATGTGATCAGATGCAGCGCTATGGCAAGAACGCACGGAGTTTGATCATGCTTCGCATCGCCAACGGTACCGTGGACCTTGCGACCATCGAGAGCTTGTGTCTGCTTTCGTTCTCTTTCTTCCTAGGCAAGGATCTCTGGCTAGGTCACGGAGCTACCTCTTGCTGACATTCTCATAGACGGAAATATGTCACTCGGCCAATTCCACGTCGGTCTTGCTTTCCAACTTTGTCGATCCGCCACGCTGGACCTCGAATCCATCTACACCGTCGATGACGCGACCACGGAGCGCAAGAAAAGGCTCTTTTGGAGTCTTCAATTACTTGAGCAGTCTTTCGGCCGACAACATGGGCTTTTGAGTGTCCCAACAGAGACGTGGCGACCATCCTATTCTTCAAGTGGTAGAAGTCAGGGATCTAACAGGGAGGTCGACCAAAAGGCCCCGCCTCTACCCAGGGATGACTTGGGATGTTCAACGCCCACTGAGCCGGGGATCTGGAACACAAGCGTCCAGCTGGGCTGGGTGTGGAGCCGGGTAAGAAAATACGTGTCTAACTGTGCTCACAATATCTGGAAGGAACCCTGGCGGCATGACTCGATGTATGCCATGGTAACCTCTGACTTCATGGAGACCGAGAACAGGATACCCATCTGCCACCGATACGACTCGGTCAAGTTCTACGAGCGTAAAGTGGAAGAGCTGAAGGTCAACCGGGACTATTGGGCGCCGTGGCTGAGGGAGCAGTTCACATACCATGTAATCCCTACAGTCTTGAACCACCCATTCCTCTACATTATCGGCGCACAACACAATCCGAACTTGGCAATTCCAAATACGTTCTGGAGGAGATCTTCCGAGCTCGCGCTGTTACACTCGACCTGGCTTGTTCGCATGATTGACATGGTCTTGGACAAGCAAATGCCACTTGTCGATCCATTTTTCGGACATGTGGCGGCGATTGCAGCTACAGTGCATCTCTATTATTGTTGTGCGGCCGATTCCAGGCTGAAACATAAATCAAACACGGACTTTGCAAAATGCAGGAGGTTTCTGAAAAGCTTTGTACCCTTTTCACCGGCCTGTAAAGCTTTGGTATGTTCTTCTTGGACGACACAGGACCGAGCTGACAGTTTCTAGGACTCTAATCTAGACAAGATGACACGAATTGCTGCCGGTTCGGAGAGCATGGATGTTGAAGACTGGATGCCATCCAAAATCTATCTGAGTGTGCCCTTGATGTGGGATATCCTCCAGTTCAATTGTATGGCAGACTCCCGAGAACCACCGACAACCGGCTTGCTGGATGCTTCGCTCTCCCCGGCGGTGCCCCAGAAATACGCAGAGGAGAGCTCAACCCTGGAGATCATTGTCGCCACCTCGCCTGAAATCAGCATCAACACTGCCGATGGAGGGCAAGACGCCCCGATATTGTCCTACAGGGCTCCTGTCTCTTCAGCACAAGAGTCTGCACAGAAGAATGTCTCCAATGAAATGTCTGTCGAGCAAGCAGACAGCCTTACGCTGAACACCACTCCCTGGCTGTGGGCGGATCCTTCACAGTTCGTCGGCATGGGAGATATGGGGTATCACGACTCGCAATCCACCATGGGCGATGCTAGAGTTGCGGCATGGTGGGAGGTCGAAAACATTGGTAACGTCATGTTTAATCACTTTTAGCGCTGCGTCTCACGCTTTTTCCACGACTGATTTTGAGCATAAAGGTACGTTATTGGGATCCGTCTGTGTGATTTCCCGGAGCTAATACCCAGCGTGGCAGCGAGTGTGACACAACTACATTGCTTTCGCGGTTTCGATGTTGACTTTGCGACATGTACGTTGCTAGCTAGGAGTTTGACGGCGCAAATGACCTGGGAGTTAGACGGTGACTGAGTGCTGTTACAAATTCAAATATCCTTCATTCGACAGTCTGGATTCGATAGACTCTTTCAATCTGTCCGAAGACTAGTTCGATCAATATATTATCAATCGAAATAGACGGGAAAACATTCCTTGCGGCACCACGTCTGAGTTGGCAATCTCAACGTGAACCAACTGCCGGGGCAGAGGAGCGCATGACGCTGAACGGACGACATCCGTCGACATAGCGCATGAAACACGTGTACCTCTTCTCCAGGGACTGTGGCCGACGAGTGAGTGGTGCGGAGCAAAGACATTGTCAGAGGAATGCAAGCGATCAGCAGACATTTGTACACTCTCTCAATCCAGGACTCGGGCCGTATCTGGCGTTGTCTCAGCCGGCGTTGCCGCCCCGGGGTATGTGGAGGACACCCTTTCGACGACCTAGCGAACGGATAAGAAGACCGAAGTTGGTCTAGAAGCGGCTCGTCGGCTCCGTATGCCGAACAGAACTATTCGAGTTCCCTGTCAGAAGACTGCCACTGGACGGGTCGTTCCCAATTGGGGATTTTATCTTATCTTGCTGCGTCTAGCTACCCAAGCGACCGGGTGTGCGATATCAGTCGATTCTTTTGGGCATCCGTCAGACAGATATTTTGGCGTATTTCGAGTGAAATTGCGAGTGTATCATACCTCTTTCCTATTATTGGCTGACTTCCAACACAACTATAACCGATGCTGGAACACACGCCATCTATAAGTGGAAACTGGTATTATCAAGCGTACAGAGGTGTGAAGTCTGGGGACGCGGTTAGAGGGAGTTTCTATTTCGATGGGGCTCATTTGATGGCCTCCTAGCACGAGAGGTCTCATCGTCTTCATCTGCGAACAGGGCGTTACTGAGGTGCTCATCTACTATACATTAGCATTAACATTTCACACGCCAATCCTCAAGGCGTGTCAATGCCCACCTCCTCTGTACAATCTAACATCCCCGCTATCTGGGAGCAACACATGCGTCAATGCATAGGAGGCTGGCGGGGGGTGTATTTCCCTCTTGTCGAGTTCTCGAGGGAAGTGAGACAACTAGTCCCACAGTGTATTTGGAAGTGAGAAGAAGGACGACAGTGCGAAACATTGCCGCTGAAAGTTCATATCGATGTTGATGGTGAAATGGGTCACGAACAAGGGCATGGCGTCTGATGGTTTCCACCATGAGCGGTACAATATCCCAGAAGCGCTGGAGGGCAGACACCTGCCTACAACATTGGACTTTTCGGAACTTTGGAATGTCCTTGACAAAGAGGACAGGGTCGAGTCTGAGATAGTCTCTGCTAGGAAGTCTAGGAACGGCCAGCCAGACCATTATATAGTGACCTTGTCCCGGGACTCGAGATCTATCATGGCTTGAAGATACACAATCACACTCTCTCGTCGCTCGGACCTGTAAAGAGCTCCGCGGCCATAGTACTCGGGCTGCATCGCCAAGGCTGGCCACGCCCGGAGTATATCTTGAGCTGTGCTGCTCGGATGATGCGCCAGTTGAGTACGAGAATAGTACCCGCGGTCCCAAGGAGATAACAGTCAACGGGTCTAGCCCTGATAGCGCTTCCATGGAGGCGAACAACACGTAAGATGCCACTGATAAGGCTAGGTACGTGTCAACTACTAGTGCCCCTTTACAGAGCCAACGCCCGGAGTAGAGATTCCGAGGCCGATCAGGTGATCGTGATAGTGGCCGGGGTGGTACGATTTCCCCGAATAGGAAACCTCTCTCGATACAACGGCTGCGCGGGCTGCAAGGGCTCCTTTACTCTAATAAGGGCCTGGGAGGGACTGGCAGTGCTGATGTTCTTTCGAGAGGCTTGAGAGGTAGGTAGACTCAAGATCACCAAAAGACAACAGCCAGGATCACACGTTCATTGATCCTCTCCTCAACAAATATCTCCCTCGCAATGGGGTCTATCAGCATGACGCCCGTGCCACGCGTTGCCATCATCGGCGCTGGTATCGTCGGCACAAATCTCGCCGACGAGCTTGTCTCGCGTGGTTGGACCGACATCACCGTCATCGAGCAGGGACCACTGGACATGCCTGGCGGGTCGACATCCCATGCCCCAGGCCTGGTGTTCCAGACTAACCCCTCCAAGACAATGACTCAATTCGCCCGGTATACGGTGGACAAACTGCTGTCGCTGCAGGAGGACGGCCAGAGCTGCTTCAACCAGGTGGGCGGCTTGGAGATCGCGACGACGCCGGCGCGAATCGAGGAGCTCAAGCGCAAGCACGGCTGGGCCGAGTCTTGGGGTGTTGAAACCCGCCTCCTCAATGCCGACGAGTGTCTCGAACGCTACCCTCTGTTGAACAAGGATCTCGTGCTTGGTGGCCTGTTCATCCCGACTGACGGGCTGGCGCTGGCCGCCCGCGCCGTCCAGCTGCTTATCGCGCGCACCCGCAAGGCTGGCGTTCGTTATCTGGGCTCCACTCAAGTCACTGGCATCGAGCAGGCAAATGACCGCGTCACCGGCGTGGTGACTTCAGAGGGAGTGATCCCTGCGGACATTGTCGTCTCTTGCGCGGGTTTTTGGGGCGTCGAGGTCGGAGCCATGGTCGGCCTCTCGATCCCCTTGCTGCCGCTGGCGCACCAGTACGCAAAGACCACGCCCGTGCCGGCACAAGCAGGTCGCAATCCTCAGCCTAATGGAGCGAATCTCCCCATCTTGCGTTACCAGGACCAGGACCTCTATTACCGAGAACATGGCGAACAGTATGGCATTGGCTCGTATGCGCACCGCCCGATCCCTGTCGTGGCCTCGACATTGCCGATAGCCTCGAAGAATGTCGATGAGAAGAACATGCCCTCCCGCCTGGAATTTACGCCGGAAGACTTCAAACAAGTGTGGGATTTATCCAGAGAGCTCTTACCTGCGTTGAAGGAAAGCGAGATTGCAGATGGTTTCAACGGCATCTTCTCCTTCACCCCTGACGGGGGCCCTCTCGTCGGACAGTCGCCTACTCTGGACGGCTTCTATGTGGCAGAGGCAGTGTGGGTAACACACTCTGCTGGAGTGGCGCGCGCGGTGGCTGAAATCCTAACGACGGGGCGATCTGAGGTTGACCTGGCAGAGTGCGACCTGGGCCGCTTCGAAGAGGTCCAACTCACCCCAGCCTATGTCAAGGAGACGTCACAGCAGAATTTTGTGGAGGTCTACGACATCATTCACCCCTTGCAGCCGCGCGAATCTCCCCGCAATCTGCGAGTCAGTCCGTTTTACGCTCGGCAGCGGGAGCTGGGCGCATTTTTCCTCGAGGCCGGAGCGTGGGAGCGCCCTTTCTGGTATGAGTCGAATGCTAAGCTGCTCGACCAGCTGCCGCCGGAGTGGAAGCCTGTCGAGCGCGATCCCTGGTCCGCCCGTTACTACTCGCCCATCGCTGCTGTAGAGGCCTGGAAGACACGAACCGCGGTGGCTATGTACGACATGACGCCGCTGCGTCGGCTGGAGGTCGTGGGACCTGGGGCGGTTGACCTCCTCCAGCGACTCACCACGGGAGATGTGTCGAAGAAACCGGGCGCTGTCACGTACACGCTCCTTCTCGACAGCTCCGGCGGCATCCGAAGCGACATCACCGTGGCCCGTCTTGCGGACGACCTCTTCCAGGTGGGCGTCAATGGGCGGGTGGACCTGATCTATTTCTCGCGTGAGGCGCGGCGGCAGTCGCAGCACGACCCGAGCAGATGGGCGCACGTGCGCGAAATCACCGGCGGCACATGCTGCGTAGGGCTCTGGGGCCCGAGGGCGCGGGACGTGATCAGCACGGTCAGCAGCGACGATTTCAGCAATAAGGGCCTGCGGTACTTCCGCGTCAAGCGGGCCAGCGTCGCGGGCATCCCCGTGGTTGCGATGCGGCTGTCGTACGTCGGCGAGCTGGGCTGGGAGATCTACGCCAGCGCCGACAACGGCCAGCGGCTCTGGGACGCCCTGTGGCAGGCTGGGCAGGCTCATGGGGTAGTGGCCGCGGGCCGCACAGCCTTCAACGCGCTGCGGCTCGAGAAGGGCTACCGGTCATGGGGCACCGACATGACCACCGAGCACGACCCGTACGAAGCCGGCGTCGATTTCGCCGTCAAGATCGGTAAGCCAGGAGGGTTCGTGGGCCAGGCCGCGCTCGAGGGCCGGTCCAAGCAAACAGCACGCCGCCTCCTGCGCTGCCTTACCGTCGACGACGGCCGCTCTGTCGTCCTGGGCAAGGAGCCCGTCTACCACGACGGCCAGCCCGTCGGCTACGTCACCAGCGCCGCCTTCGCATACACCCTTGGCAAGCCCATCGCCTATGCCTGGCTGCCCAGCACCGTCGCCGAGGGCAACTCCGTCGATATCGAGTACTTTGGCACCCGCATCCGCGCCACCGTCACCCCGGAGCCGCTGTATGATCCGTCGATGAGCCGACTGCGTGGTTGAAAATGAAGGTGCGGATTTTCAAAATGAATAAATGTGTTTTTGCATCTCAACCAAAAAGAGCGCCGGGGAAGGAAACAGATTGATTGCATGTCCTCCTCCTCCTCCTCCTCCTCCTCCTCCTCCTCCTCCTCCTCTTTATCCCCCGTCCGCTTTTCTCCCTGGTCAGGGCAAGGGACACGATTTCATGATTATATATATATATATTTTCACATACGGAGTTATTCTTTTCGGGATCTTTTCCGTGAGAAGGGGAGAGAAGATCTCGGCCTGGACCGAAGCCATTTAGCTTTGCGAAGAATGGATTTATGTACATGTGGGCCGCTAAGCATTTTATTTTTGACATAAAATTAAGCTCTAAACGCTTTTTTCTCTTGGACCCTTTCAATATCCTACGCTTTAAAGAATCTCCCCCAGATTCTTTGCGCCAGACACGATGCGGGCATGGAGATTCCTCGCAAGGCTCATTGCACTACTTGTCGCTGCAAGAGGAATCAAGGACGCGCGCCCAATAGCCATCGGGCGTGCAATTGCCGCCTGCTGCCCGGTAACACGTGGTAGGTGGTAGTTGGTCCAATTGCGGCTGAGGGCTGAAAGCAGATCGCTTTGGTTTCCCCCGCAACTTCCCACTTGAAAATGATCCAGCCTCCTTCCGTGATTTTGTGTCTCGCAGTTCCATTTTGCTGCCTGCGCTCGAGGTGGTAACCCCGTTCCTCCATACTGTTTACTTGCAAGTTGATTAGGACAGCCCAGCGTTGTGGAGCGAAGCACAGGTCGGACTGCGAAACGGGGACTCGATAAACCCGGTCCAGGCGGTAGATTCAGCCTGATCGAGTTCAAGCCGTAGGACAACACTGTTTCATGAAATCGGACCCAGATTCTGACTGAAATACTATGGGAAAACGGGCAGCGTTCTGCCCAGGCTCTAAAACGAAGAAGAAGAAACAGAGGACGAAAATGACAACTGAGCATCGGTCGGAAAAAGTCGAAGAATAGGAGAGATCCTAGTTCCTGATCCTTGATACGACTTCAGTACCTCGTTCCCATATCACTGAACACGTTGGAGCTCCGCAGTGCCAGCAAAATCTGAGAGTGGTCCCCAAAATCTCCCGCAAGAGCCTGCCATTACCGGGTAAATAAGCTGTGAACCAACAGCCAACTGCAAGGAGATGAGAAACGAGATCATTGCAGGAACTTGAGCATTTTCGGCCGTGGTGTTCATTTGCATCAGTTCTGCCTTGCTCCTCACACTTCACAGGCACAACTCTCAGCAATGGATCCCGCTTCGGTGTTGGGCCTTGTCTCGTCCATCGCTGGGCTAATCGAGACAACAGTGAAAATCATTAGCTATGTGAACGACGTCCAGAATGCCCCAACTGAACGGGCACAGCTTGCCCGGCACGCTTCGAGCCTTCTAGCAATGTTGACTGATCTGAGATATCGGGTGGAAGAAGCCAAATCCACCTCGGATGCATGGTTCACGGCTCTTCGCGGCCTGGGGGTATCAGGAGGACCCCTCGATCAGTTACGGGACCAACTGGAACTTTTGGCGACGAAGCTTGATCCACCGAGAGGACGGCTACAAAGGGTAGGAAGGGCCTTAACCTGGACGCTCGACAAGAAAGAGATCGAAAAGATCCTTGAGCAAATTGAACATGTCGAGATGCTCGTTATGCTTGCCTTGCAGAATGATCACTTGTAAGGTCCTCTAATTCGGATATGCATTCCACAATTTGTTGATACGTCCTTTAGCAAGCTTTCTCTGGAAATGAAACAAGACCTAATCGACGTGAAAGGGGACTTACGGGGGGCCATTGATGGAGCTACTGCGGCACGACAAGGTGAGGATTCACGGGACTGTGCACTGAAAATCAACAGGCAAATTTAACACACAGAGATTCCACAGTTGAAGAATTTCAGAAGGTTACTGCCTGGCTCTCCAGCCTCGACTTTGCAGTCAAACAGGTTGACTTTGTTAATCGCCGACAAGTTGGAACCGGAGAATGGTTCCTCTCTGACCCTAGATTCCAGCAATGGCTCACTGGGGAGGAGAGAACCCTATGGTGCCCAGGGCTACGTAAGGTTGACTATACCCCTATCATTCATCTCATGTCGCTCACGAGACGTAGCGGGCGCTGGCAAGACAATACTCTCGTATGGACCCGTTCCGATACAGGAATCTTCGGAAGTCCAGAGCGGTTGCTAATCCACAGTCCTGCAGGTCAATGGTCGTTGATTGGCTCGAGAGTCAGCATCAAGGCACGGATACTGCTGTGATCTACCTTTACTGCAACTACAAAGAAGAGGAAATTCAAACAGCACAGAACTTGATAGGGAGCTTGTTGAAGCAGGCTGTCCAACACAGGCCCAGTGCTCTTCCCGCCGATGTGCTGAGTCTCTACAACAAATTCCTCGAGAAAAAGACTGGCCCCAGGCTAGATGAGCTCTCCAGGCTGCTTGCACAAGAAGTCAACACTTACTCACAGGTATTCGTGGTAATAGATGCTCTCGATGAATGTCCCGAGGGCAACAACACAAGAGGTGAACTGCTCACAGAGATTCAAAAGCTGCCCTCGAATGCACGAATCCTTATTACCTCGAGATATTCTCCAAAGATCGATGAGGGATTCGAGAACGTCCCACACATTGAGATCCGCGCAACGAATCAAGACGTCGAGCTGTATGTCAAAGGCCGCATCGAAAAAGAGAGGTCGCTGGCAGCGCATGTCCTTAGAGACAGGCCCCTAACGGAGGAAGTTATTGAGACCGTCGTTGAGAGAAGCCGAGGAATGTACGTTTTAGCTTCTTGTCTCGTTTTCTCCCAGTTGCCCTATGTTCTTATATGTTGGCTCATACTAAACTTTCGCCCTTGGGTAAAGGTTTCTGCTTGCTCAGTTCCATATGGATAATCTGGCCAAAAGCCTCAATCGCCGCGAACTCCGCCAGGCATTAGACAGTCTACCAGAAGAACTGGACGAGATCTATGAACAGGCCATGCTGCGGATCAAGAACCAAGACGAACGCCGGGCTGCCCTAGCTTACAAAGTGCTGTATTGGATTTCCTATTCGCTCCGGCCACTCACCGTCATGGAACTGCAGCACGCCCTGGCGGTCGAGCCAGGTGATGACGATCTCGACGAAGATGGTCTTTATGAGCCTGAACTCATGGTCTCAGTATGTGCCGGTCTTGTAACTGTGGACGAGGAAAGTCATCAAATTCGCCTAGTGCACTACACAACTCAAAGTTACTTTGAGCGCACCCGTATAACCCGGTTCCCCGAAGCTCTTTCAACAATGGCCAAGGCATGCTTGACATATTTGTCCTTCCGCCTGTTTGCTGAGAAATACTGCTCAGAAACAAGCGAAGTTGAAACCCGCCTTAGCCACTATCCCTTCTTGAGGTATGCAGCCAGCTACTGGGAACATCACGTCCGCGACGGAATGGACGAAGATATCCATCAGCTCGCCTTAAGATATTTAAGCAACAACATCAGCATCTTAAATACTATCCAGGCAAGCGAGCGCGTGGAGTCCCGGTTTCGTTTGAAGTGGTACGTCGGCACAAATTTCACTCGACTTCACACCGTCGCTTGGTTCGGTCTTGTCGAGATTGCACGAGATTTGCTGGTGGGCAGCGTCAACCTGAATGCACGAGCGTATGAGAATTTTACACCCCTTCACATGGCGGCAGAGCGAGGCCACACTCAAATGGTTAGCTTGCTGTTACAGGCGGGAGCCGAGGTCTCACCCAGAACGTTCGAAGAAGAGACGCCATTGCATATAGCCGCTGGAGCGGGACACCATTCCGTGGTGCAAGTTCTCATCGATGCGGGGGCAGACTGTAATGACTGTATGCCCTCCGGCAGACTGTCGCCGCTCCATGTTGCACTAGAGTATGGCCATATCGATGTCGCGCGAGTTCTGATTGAGAATGGGGCAGATGTCAGCCAGAAGCATGTTTACACTGAGAGGACCCCATTGATCCAAGCCGTGGAGCATGGTCACGAGGCTCTGGTTCTCTTGCTCCTCAATAATGGGGCCGATATATCTGCAGCTCAGAAAGGTGGCCTGACAGCGCTCCATGCGGCAGCTCGATCTGGTCAAGATAGGCTTGTGGAGATGTTGATCTCAAGAGGCAGTGATGTCTCCATCCAGGGCGAAGGAGGAGAAACAGCGTTGCACTACGCAGCAAGGTTTGGTTATGATAGGCTTGTGGAGATGTTGATCTTGAGAGGCATTGATATCTCCATCCAGGACAAAGAAGGGAAAACAGCGTTACACCACGCAGCAGAGAATGGTGATGATAG